TGGTTTCCGACGTCCCGATATAGTCAGTTGACGCCATCACTGACTATTGGGGGCGAATCACTGCCCCCCACGGAGAGGGCTCACAACTTGGGCGTCCTCCTGGATTCACGGCTGTCTTTAGAAGAGCACCTGACGGCCGTGACCGGGAGGATTTTTTATCAGGTTCACCTGATTCGCCAGTTGCGTCCCTTTCTGGATCGGGACTCGTTACGCATGGTCACTCATGCCCTCGTCACCTCCCGCCTGGACTATTGTAATGCTCTCTACATGGGGCTCCCCTTGAGGAGCACCCGGAGGCTCCAACTGGCGCAGAGTGCGGCCGCGCAGGTGGTAATGGGAGCGTTATGGCGCTCCCATGTGACACCTCTCCTGCGCGAGCTGCACTGGCTCCCGGTGGTCTTCCGGGTGCGCTTCAAGGTTTTGGTTACCACCTTCAAAGCGCTCCATGGCTTAGGACCTGGTTATCTACGGGACCGCCTACTACCACCAATAGCCTCCCACCGGCCAGTACGCTCTCATAGAGAGGGACTCCTCTGGGTGCCGTCAGCCAAACAGTGTCGGCTGGCGACCCCTAGGGAGAGAGCCTTCTCTGTGGGGGCACCTACCGTCTGGAATGAGCTCCCCCCAGAGATACGGAGGATTCCGGATCTGCGCACCTTCCGCCGCGCTGTGAAGACTTTTTTATTCCATCAAGCGGGCTTGGCCTAATCTCCTCCCTCTTTTAATATGTAAATTTTAATCTGTTTTTAAATTATTGGGGTGTTTTAATCTGTCTGGGCCAAAATGATTTAATTTGATTTTATCTGGTTTTAAATTTTGTGTATTTATGTATTTTATTGCTTGGCTGTTCACCGCCCTGAGTCCTTCGGGAGTAGGGCGGTATACAAATCAAATAAACTAAACTAAACTAAACTAAACCTCCTGAAGGTGGCCAGGCGAGCTCTCCTCCCCCTAAAGCAACCGGGTTACCTGGAAGGGGGCTGTGGGGGCGATCCTAGGCCTTCCTGAGGGCTCTAACTCCCCCTTCCTTTCCCTCCAGAGGGGCTCCAGGGGTCTCTTGAGCCTTTTTGGGACCCTCAACTCCTCCGTGGGGAGAGATGGGGTGAAGGGTCAGGAGAGGCCGCATGGGAGTGACCCTGTCCAGAGCCCTGGCAACCTTTTGATTCCAGGACATACCAAGGCTCTGGAGGGCCATGCCAAGATCCTTGCTGAGGGGGGGACTTGGGGTTTTTTGGAGGGACACCCCCCCCCAGACCAGGCTTTGTCTGCAACTGTTCAAATCTCACCAGGCTCAAGGTTGACTCAGCCTTCCATCCTTTCGAGGTAGGTAAAATGAGGACCCGGATTGTGGGGGCAATAAGATGAGTTTGTATAAAAAAAGAACACCGCTTGGGGGGCCCCGAAAGCCCTACTAAGCAGGTATATACAAAAGTATGAAGGCTATTGCTTAACACATTGTAAGCCGCCCTGAGTCTCTGGAGAAGGGCGGCATATAAATTGAACCAATAAATAAATTGAACCAATAAACTGGCTGGCCTCCTTCCCAGCTGTTCTGTCCCCGTACCACGCACACACACCCACAGACGGCCCGGAGTTAATTAAGCCACACGACAAAGTCTTTGAAGATAAAGCTGGCAGCAACCCAGTGGCTAGCTGCCAATTCAGACTTTACTCACTCAAAACGAAGATTAGCCTGCCAGCATTCCGATAAAATAGGCAGAGTTTTCAACAATACCAGAATTAATCCAAATGCAGTCCGATAAAGCAGGCAAAGTCCAGTAACGCAGAAATCATGGATTAGTTCTAGTTTTTTGCTCGTCACAAACTGAACTGGCCACCACACCCACATTTATACCCTGTGGGGTGTGGTCCAGTGACTCAGCTAATCTCTGCCATGCCTTCCCCTCTGCTGTGCACGCTTCTCCCTGCGCCTCTGGCGAGGGTCCAGCCAGCACTTATCTTCCTCGTCGCTGTCCACCTGTGGCTGCGGGGACGTGCTTGGCTCTGAGCCTATCGTTTGGCCTTCGGTGTCCTCCGGAGGCATTGCCAGAGAGGAGGGTCCTGGAGAGGGAGGCCTTGCCAACTCCTCTTCCTCACTCTCAGAGTCTGCATCTGTCGATAGCCCACGCTCAGGCAACGGAGCCACAACACCAGCCAAAGGAACCGGACATTCCTGGGGAGGAGGTGCAGAGGGGTCCGACTTCTTGATGGCAGCCTCTGCCTGGATTGGGGGTGGCAGGGGTAGGGATCTATAGGGGAGGTCTTGGGGAAAGGGAAGGTGGGGGCAGTAGGAGCTGAGATCAGGCAGAACCCAGGATCACATCTGAGCCTTGGAGAGGATCCCTCTTGATCTCCTCCTTCCCCAAATGCTCCCACTGGCACAACTCTTGGACGGATTAATGGGGGGGGGTCTGGGTGACTGTTTGAACAAAAATGCAAATTCTGGATGAGAAAAAAATCTATTAGCAAGAAAATGGATGAAGCAAATTTAAATTGCCAAATTCTATTTAATTCGTTTTAAATAATTATTTTAACTTGTACAAATGTTTTTATTTTGGCTGTTCACCGCCCTGAGTCCGAAAGGAGAAGGGCGGTATACAAATTTAATAAATAAATGAATGAATGAATGAATGAATGAATGAATGAATGAATAAATAAATAAATAAATAAATAAATAAATCAGTGGAAATTGAAAAGTTTGAATTTGGCATTTTTATTGAAAACATTTTCAATTCATATAGATTATTTTTAGTAGGTAAACAAGGAGACTATCAGGTGACATGAATACTTTTTATAGCTCAACCCAAAATAAATTTAACTTTATACAAAAATGTACTATTAACATTTGGTGGTTCCAATTTGATCAGATGGGAGTTGCTGGAGAAAGGTTTTAATTCACTCCTGGATCCACTGTTGGATCGGAACAAGATTTTTTTTTCTCTTTAAGGACCCCCCACCCCTCCCAGACACAACTTTCTCCTTCTGTCCATCCAGGAATTTAATTTAATCAACATTTGGAGACCTCTCAACTTCAAACAGCAGGAATACACAATACATTTTCTCTGCCTCACACTTTGATATTCAAGATTTATTTTTAATATCAACTTTGATGCAGTAAAAAAATGTGACCCAGATTTACGTTTTTCTTTCTGATCAAGCACCCATAGAATCGATGCTGATTTTGGAAGGTTTGGGATAAAAATATTGCCATTAGATGCTCCTTTGTTCGGGTCCATTGAATATAGCTAAATTAATAGAAGTGAGGAAATGTCCATATTAAATATTGCTGGAATGAGAATTATTTCAAATATGCCAGACAAGAAGAATGTTGAATTGATAGTAAGAAATAATTCAATGTTGAATATTATCAATCAGGGGATTATTATCTCCAGAAATTTATCCTCTTTGGTGGTAAAGATATTTTAAACTGTCTCTCAAATTTGAGAGAATATCATCTCCTTGTGTGTCCAATCACACTTGGCCAATAAAGAATTCTGTTCTATTCTATTCTAAATTCTGATATCCTATTAAATGGATGTGATCCTCCTCCTAGCTTTGCTGGGAAGAATTTAGGACTGAAAATGAGTTTTGCCTCCAGATGAAATATGTGGAGAAGAAAATCTCTGCCAGTTCTCCTGAAATATTCAATTATTTAGGGAAGGAGCAAAAGTCCAGGATCTCCCTCTAAAAAATCTTTCTCTCTTAGGATGGGCTATTTTTTTCCTCTTATGGAAGTAATATCTTATTTAATTCTGTGGCCACACATAATTTTTGGGCTCCCAATGGGAACCTCAGACTTAGGCAATTCTTAAATGGGGATGCTTTAAAGACTTTTCAGTTTCCATCAAAGGAGTAAAGTTTTCCTGGAAAGGCCAAATTTGCAAATTTGCAAAAGTGCAGCTGAAATCCTAGATTTGCACAATGCTCAGTCTCTGGAACCGTATCAGTTGAGAGAAATAAAAGAAAAATATTATTACACAGAGAATGTAAATTACAAAAACAAATCTAGGCAATTTGCAAGGAATCTGGAAGAGAGAAGTAAACAATCCGTGGCTTCATGGATGAATGGAAGTAGGATGTGTTTCTTATGATGTAAAATTCAGATTTAAGGTTTGTGGGAGTTTTTGGACTCTCCCCCCCAAATCCAGAGCCTCCCCAGGAAGGAAGACGGAAGGGATTTGGCTGCAGGGGAAACTGAGTCTGTGACCAAAAAGGGGGCTTCAAGGGGGGCTTTTCTCCCAGACCCCCAAAATTGGCTGAATGAAATTTCTCAGCCTCTGAATCAGCTTCTGTTCAAGGCAAAAGAAACGCCAGACCAGGATTCCGCCTGATTTGCGTTTGATTCACAATGATAAATTCTATCTGGATTGATTGATTGATTTTATTGTTTAGTTTATTTATTGCTATTATTAGTTTATTATCTATTCTATTATTTACTTTATTGTTTATTTAGTTTCCTTTATTATTTAGTTAATTTATTATTATTCTTTATTTAGTTAGTTTATTTTATTACTTATGTATTTTATTTATTAATTTTTTATTTTATTTATTTATTTAGTTTTTCATTTATTTATTTTTCATTAATTAATTAATTTAATTTTATATATTCATTTATTTTACTTACTTATTGGATTTAAAAGATGTGGGAGTGGAAATGACTCAGACTAAAGAAACCTGGCGAGAAAGGACAGAAGAATTCGCTTTCATGGATTCCCTTTGAACATTCATTTTTTTATTCTAAAATCTCAAAGCGCCCCCCCCCCTTTATTGGCCTTCTGGAAAGGGGTCCAAATGGGGCTCTGGGGCTTAGCTGGGGGGGGGGGGCAGAGAGGAGGAGGCAGCCTGAATCCCCTGAAGCCTTTTAATTAGTCTCTTCATTAATTAATTTTACCACTGAATTTGAATCCTCCTTGCTTTTTAAATGACCACTAAATCTTCATCCGGGAGAGTCTCAATCAAGGAAAGGAAAGGAAAAGGGGATACTCCCCCCCCCAACTCACCTTTCCGGCCAATCACAGAATTCCTCTGGAGAATCTCGTAGTTGTGCCGGCAGATGGAATCCACAGAGTCCTTCATGATCTGCAGGAACTGCTCATCTCTGTTCAATCTGTCCACATAGGGCTTCATCAAGGGAGTGACAGCCATGAACTTCCCGAGGTCGCTGTCGAAGTAATAGATCTCCTGCCGGTCGTAGAAGTTCCTCTCCAGGACCCGCACCTGCTGTGTCCCATTGAGGAAGCGGCACTCGTGCTTCCCCTGGAGCAGGAAATGGGCTGCAAGGGGAAAGAAGAGGGGAAGGAAGACCGTCAGGAGGGACTCCAGGGCCCATCATTCCCAGCCACCAGGACAGGAGGAGGATGGACTTGGGAGGCAAAGGGGGATGGAGGGGAGACTTTCTGTGAGAGACTCATTGACAGACGCCCCCTGGAGGACGGAAGGGGAATTTGGGGGTCCCAGGGGGAGTGGAACTTCCTGGGGGTCTGGAAGGGGGGGAAAGAGGGGGGTATTTCTTGCTGTGCCCCCTCCTTCCTCCCAGGGTGGAAAAACGCAGGCAGAAGTTCAACCGGTCCAGCAGACGTTCTCTTGGCTGGGGACTTTGGATCCTGAGGGGGCTTTTTGTTCTTTGTACAACCTGCAAGCCGCCCAGAGTCCCCTTGTAGGGGAGGCATCACAGAACAGATGAAGGGAAGGGACCTTGGAGGTCTTCTAGTCCAACCCCCTCCTCAAGCAGAGTTTGGGGAGGGGGAAGAATGGGGACATCCAGAGGGATCCTTCTGGGGTCCCCCCCCAGCCCCTCTCTCCCCTCAGCCCCCACTTTCTCTGGTTACCCCCAACTTTTCTTCACCCCCTCATCTTCAGCCCTTCTAGGATTTGGGGGAGAATCGGGGATCTCTCCTCTCCCCCCCCAATTAACCCCCCAAAGACCACCTCAAATGGAGGCTCTCCAGCCCCCTTCAGGAAAGGGAGAGATTTGGGGAGCCAATTGAGGGGAGCAACTCAGAACTTCCCCCCCATCATCAGTCCCCCCCCATGCTGATCGGGCGATGGGGAATTATGGGGTGGGGGAGTCTTGTTCTCCTCCCCAAATTCAAAGCCCCCCCAGAAGGGTTCGAGGCTCAAATCCTGCCTGACTTTCACAGCCTCAAATGAAAAAAATGAACTTTTTGAAGCTGCAAAAATATTTTTTCTTATATTTTTGGTGGCTTTGTATTTGGTGGCTTTTTATATTTGTGGAGTCAGGTCTGAAAATGCCTCAGTTTCCCTCTTTCGCTTTCGCTTTCCGACGCCTTCCGCTTTCCATGCAGGGAACTTTCGAGGCAACCGGCTTTGGGGGCTCCGTATTCGGGTGCAATGGGGGGTCTGGAAGCTCCCACTCCCACCCAGGCACAGTCACGGGGGAGGGCAGGGGGGGCCCGAATGCTTCTCATCACAGTTCTTCCGCCTTCCCACCACCCCCTCCCCACCACAGTCACAAAGAAGGGAGACAGCGATCCTTCTTCCTCCCTCTGGGCGAAGTGGGGCGAGCGAGGGAGCGGAGACCACGCGGAGATCGAGGCTTCTCAGGATCCCGCCTGTCTTGCCTTCCACCCCTTTCCCCACTACTGGGGTCTCAACCCCTCTCTTCCCCCTCTTCCTCCAGGAGCCCTCACGGCCCCTCCCAGCCCCTCTCCTCCCCCCGCCCAGCCCCCTCCTTACCGGGGGTCTCCTTCCCGCCTTCGCTTCCGGGGATCCGGGCCAGCGACCCCACCAGCAGCATCAGGGGGACCCCAGGAAAAGCCATGGCTGCTGCCCCACAAGCGCCCCAAAGGGACGGGAGAAAGACGCGGAGGCTCCCAGCCCCAGAGGCGGAATCGGTGGGTCTGTATGCGAGAGAGGGGCGTTTTCCTCGAACTTCGGACTTGGGCGTGCCCAGGAAAGCGGAAGGACCAATCGGAATCCTCCCTTCTGCGGCGTCATCGGTCTCCGGGCAGAGCCTCCCTTGACTTCACCGCAAGAGAAGATAGTTCAGCGCAGAGAGAGAAGCGGAGACGGTGCGGGGGGCCCTTCAGTCTTGGGGGGCTGCAGCTCAAGGGGGGGTTCAGGTCAGCCCTGGAGGGGAGTACAGGCTTCCTTTTGCCCTCCGCCCCCCAGGATCCGGCTGGAGTGGGGCTGCAGTGGATGAGAGAAGGGGAGGCGCAGCCCCACAACCAGCGAGATCTTGGGGGTCCTCATCGTTGGGGGGGGCCTTCCTCAATCATGTGGGGTAAGTGCCCTCCCCGCCTCTCCCGGAAGCTTCTGCCTTTTGGTCCCTTCCTGGCAAAGGGGCTGCCCGAGGGCCACTTTGACCCCCAGCGCTGTGGGGTTTTCTGACCCACCGCAAATGGCAGGTTGGTTCTGGTTGAAGATAGAGATATTTTGTGTAAAGAGGTTAAAGAGGTTAGAGATACAGAAATGCAGAAATGCTGCATTCGTTGCCGGAACTCATACCGCTGGACGTATTTCGATGGCGTCGGGGCGTAGTGGTCCTTCAGCAGCGTCTGGAGCGTTTGCCTCGAGATGATGTGGACCGAGTTCGGTTCCGACCGGGCTTCGGCCATATCGAACACCTTGGGTCCACAATGGCCCAGGAACAGGGCTTTCTTTCGCACGTCTGGCAGCCCCTGTAGATCGCTGGCCACCAGGAAGCATTCGAAGCGGGACATGTAGGATCCCCACTTCTCTTCCGTTGGGTTGAAAGGCGCTGGCGGTACGTAGGCAGGCATCGTCCAGGTACTCCGCTCGCTCGCCTGGCTGGATTCGGGGTTGCAGCTCTCTTGTCGGCTCGTGGCTTCAGCTCTTTCCGTGGCTTCTGGCCTCAAAATCGCCAATTTTAAGTTGGGAGAACCTCTTTAAAATAGAGTGAGAATCCAGCAACTAACCTGGGGAAACAGCTCTCCTTATATACCCTGCAGCTGTGGCAATCAGCCAATCAGCTGAGGGCTATTAAGTTCAAACTTTCCCGCCAAAACTATATACGTAACAGAGGGGTCCCTCTCCGTCCTCCAGGACGGAATGTGGGGAGAAAGTGGGAAGAGACCAGGCAGAGATCGAGGCTGTTGGAGGCTCTGGACGGGGGTGGATTCTAAATTTTTTTACTACCGGTTCTGTGGGTGTGGCTTATTTTGTGGGTGTGGCTTAGAGGTCATGTGACTAGGTGGGCGCAGCCAGATGGTCAGAGTCATTTATGGAAGGTCCTCGCACTTACGACCAGTCCTCGAACTTACGACCCGACTCATTTGTTTGCTTTTAACACTGATCAGCTGTAGGGCGGCCCTTTGAAGCCCCACGGCAAGAGTTTAAACAGTTTTTTTCCCTCTAGCCATCAGCTGGGACTCAGGAGGCAGCAATAGATTGGGGGTGGGACCAAATAAAAGGTAAGAATAACGTGGGGGTGGGGGGTGGGAGAACCGGTTCGGTGACGTCATATCGTCACCGCTACCACTCGGCCGAACTGGACCGAACCAGGAGGAACCCACCACTGGCTCTGGAGACCCAGCAGCTTCCCCACTCCAGGGGTCCTTCTCAGCCCCTTCTCCACCCAACTTCTTCCTCGCCCAGCCCTCTCCTTACCGGGGTCTCCTTCCTCACTTCGCTTCCAGGGATCCGAGCCAGCGCCCCCACCAGCAGCATCAGGAGGAGCCCAGCAAATGCCATTGTCAAGCTTCGTTGTTATCTCCAAATAAATGAATTTCCAAACGCCCGACCTTTGAGGAAATTTTTCTCTTTATTGAGCATAACGAACTGACCTTGACTCAATGCGTAGTTAGCACTGAACTTTGGCCCCCCCAAAATCTCCCTTTCCGGTTCCCAATTCTCTGCGTCTCATTGGCCATCTTCCAAGCCACTCTACTCATCCCATCTCTGTCATTTCACAGGAATGCCCCCCTCCCATCTCTATCTCCGTGGAGACAGTTCTTCAGGGGAAAAAGTCGGTGAAAGTTCAAGCCTCTCCTCCCTTCCTTATGGCAGCCTGGAAGCTGACATCCATGGATGCTGCCCCACAAGCGCCCCAAAGGGAGAGGAGAAAGACGCGGAGGCTCCCAGCCGCAGAGTCGGAATCGGTGAGTCTGGATGGCGGAGGAGGAGTTTTCCTCGAACTTCGGACTTGGGAGTGTCCAGGAGCTGAAGGACCAATGGGAAGTCTCCCTTCTGCAGCGTCATCGTTCTCCGGGCAGAGTCTCCCTTGACTTCGCCAGATGAAAGAGAGTTCGAAGGAGAGAAAGGGGGAGGGGGATATGTTCAGTGTTGGGGGGCTGCAGCTTCAGGGGGGCTGTTTCCTGGCAGATCCGGAGGGGAGTGTGGACTTCCTTTTGCACCCACCCTCCCCCCGCATGATTCTCATCCAGTCTCGCTTTCTCTGTGCACCTGGAGGGGTGGACTAGATGCCCTTTTAGTTCCCACAGGGCAGCGTCTCCAGGGATCGCCCCTCGGCTGACAGAAGCCGAAGGTCGATCAGCCCAGAAGTGGGGATCGTCTGAAGCCTCCGAAGGGGATCCAACCTGGAAGGGATCAGGAGGGATTTCCGAGCCGTGAGAACCAATTAATCAATGGAGCAGCCCCCCCACCTGGAATTGGCATCCCTGGAGATCTTCAAGAAGAGACTGGGCAGCCGTGGTGGTATAAGTAGAAAGAGTGCAGAGAAGAGCAACAAAGAGGATGGGGGGGGCTGGAGGCTAAAACATGTGAAGAACGGTTGCAGGAATTAGGTCTGGTTGGTCTAGTGAAGAGAAGAATTAGGGGTGGCAGGATAGCAGTCTTCCAGTATTTGAGGGGTTGCCAGAAAAAAGAGGGGATCCACCTTTTCTCCAAAGCACCGGAAGGCAGGACCAGAGACGATGGAGGGGAACGGACCGAGGAGAGAAGCAATCTGGAACCAAGGAGGAATTTCTGGAGAGCAACCAACCAGAGGAACAGAAGTGGCCTTCAGAAGTTGTGGGAGCTCCATCACTGGAGGCCTCCAAAAGGAGACCGGACCACCATTTGGTGGGATTGGCCTAGGGCCTCCTGCCGGAGCAGGGGGTTGGACTAGAAGACCTCCGAGGCCCCTCCCAACTCTGAAATTCTGGGTTCTCCGCTTTTGTTTGCACTTCCAACTTTACTTTTATTTGATTTATATACCGCCCTACTCCCGAAAGACTCAGGGCGGTGAACAGCCAACAATAAAATACATATATACAAAACTGTCCCCTCCGGTGGGTGAAATCAAGAGACACTCTGCCCGGAGACTGATGATACTGCATAATGGAGAATTCTGATTGGTTCTGCTTCTTCCGGCTACTCTCCAGGCTGACTCTGAGAGAAGGAAGCTCCTTTTTAACCCTTTCCCCTCCACTCCGCTGAAGATGATGGGACCCAGCCTGGGAAGGAAACCTTCGGAAAGCGACCCACAAGTCGAGGGAACGAACCTTCTCCCCCCAAACTCTTTACCTCCCACCCAGTCCAGACCCACCAGTTCCGCTTCTGGGGCTGGAAACGTCTAGGTCTCCCCATTCTTGGGGGGGGGCATTGTGGGGCAGCATCCATGGGCTCTGCTGGGCTCCTCCAGCTGTTGATGGGGGCGGCGCTGTCGGGGATCCCTGGGAGCGAAGGGGGGAAGGAGACGCCGGGTAAGGAGGGGGCTGGGAGGGACCCACGGATGCTGGGGGGTTGGAGAGAGGAAAGGGGGGACTGAGACCCCAGGGGAGACTTTGGGAAAGGGGTCGAGGGCAAGAGAGGCAGAGTTTCCAAGCCCGAATCAATTTGGAGCCCCCAAAGTTTCTTCCGTTAAAAGAGGAAGAGGAGGGAAAGTGAAAGAGGGAAACTGAGGCACTTTCGGACCTCAATCCACAAATGCCACTAAAAGTATAAGAAAAAGAATTTTGGCAGCTTCAGAAACTTCACTTTTTCTTCTGAATCTCAGATTTGAGGCTTTGAAGGTCAAGCAAGAGTGGAGCTTGCATCCCTTCTTGGGGAGCCCCTGAATTTGGGGAGGGACCAAGAACCCCCCACCCCATAATCCCCGATTCCTCAACCAGGACCTGGAGGGCTTTGAGAGAAGGGTATTTGGGGGTCTGAGATGCTCCTCGGAAATTAACTCCCCCAAACTCTCCCTTTAGTGAAGGGGGCGGGAGACCCCCTCCCTTTGAGGGGGTCTTAGGGGGGCTCTGGGGGGTGTTTTGCGACTGGACAGGAAACTGCAACTGATTATCCCAACTAGGAATCTTTTCTCCATCTTTCAGGATCCTTTTTGTTTGGGAAGATGACTTAAAATACAGAGGAGTAAAAAGGCGTCTTGGCCTCAACTCAACCCACTTGAGCTTCTTCTCTGCTCGGAACTATCTTCTCCATCGGATGAAGTCAAGGGAGGCTCTGCCCGGAGACTGATGACGCCGCAGAAGGGAGAATCCCCATTGGTCCTCCTGCTCCCCCTGGACACACCCAATTTCGAAGTCAGAGGAAAGCGCTTCCTCCCCCCCCCTCCAGACCCACCGATACCGCCTCTGGGGCTGGAGGCACCCGCGTCTTTGCTCCCCCCTCCCTCTTTCCAGCCAGAAGCCAATTTCTCTCTTTTTGCGCCCAGAAATTGTTTTTGGCCTTTTAGGATTAAAAAAAAAAAATTAACAATCCAAAATAAAAAATAGAATGGAGGTTCTTTCACTTATTGCTCCCTTGATGGGGGTCTTTTGCATCTTTTTATTCTTTTTTCAGAGTCATTTGCAGTCCAGCAGCTTTTAAATCCCATAAACAAACAAAGGAATAAAGGAAGGAAGCTAGAATTTGTAATCATGATTCAGTCCTTAAACCAAGATGTAAAAAGCCCCGTCATGATCCTGGTTTGGTGTTTTCTCAAAAGCTGATTCAGAGGCTGAGAAATTTCATTCAGCTGATTTGGGGGGTCTGGGAGAAAAGCCCCCCTTGAAAGCCCCTTTTTGGTCATAGACTCGGCTTTCCCTGCAGCCAAATCGCTTCCGTCTTCGTACCTGGGGAGGCTCCGGATTTGGGGGAGAGACTCCAAAAACACCCACAAACATTAACAGTGAATTTGGGATCATAAGTAAGGTGACCAGATTTTAACATTGGTAAAGAAGGACAACATTGACTGGGGGAGAGGGGTTTTTGATTAAAAATTTGGTCTATATGGAGCAACAAAAATTTTCATAGAACGCAAAAATAGTATTGTAATATATATTTTTTTAATTTCAACATAAGTACAATTTACAAATATAATAAATAAAAAAAATATGTATAGTATTATTTTATTCTTTGGCATATTTCTCATTTGAGTGAATTTTTTTTAGTAGATTGCTGTCATTGTTTAAAAGGTCATGAAATTCTTCACAAGAATTTGTTAAATTGTATTTCACACATAAAATGGCTTTCAAAGTCTCAACACTTAATTGTGATTTTTCTGATGTCCACACTTTATTTACCGTAGAAAAAACGCGTTCAGTCGCAGCATTAGTTCCTGGTAAGGACAGCGCGTATTCCACAATTTTTAGTGCATTATTGTATGGAACATGGTTTGTTTCAAAATGATGAAATATTTCTAACCATTTGTTCTCTATTGTGATTTTTGCTGATGCCCAAGATTTAACCTTTTCCTTATCAATATATTTTTTTAATAATGATACCTCATTAAAAAGATCATTTTCGGAAATATTACTATATGTGAAATTTTGAGTAATATGATCGAATGATTTTTGCACATCATTCCAATTAAGTTCTTGTTTTAATGTAACCCAATGAAAATGTTCAATATCATTGTAATGTACCGTCCACTCTTCTAAATAATCTATGCAGTTACTATAGAACTTTTTGACGTGATTCATGATATCTGCACAATTTATTGCACCTTGTTCTTCTAGCTGGCTTATACTATTACGGATAGTTAACGGAAGAAAATTATTTTCTAACCGCTCTTGACACTGAAATTTTAAATTATTAACTTCATTTGCTACTTCGATTACCGAAATTTTGTCACCTTCAATAAGTTTTATAGCGTTTTGAAAAAGAGCTGCTTGATTGTGTACAAACTCTAGCCAAATTTTTGAAGATTCTTTTTCAAAAAACTCTTCTAAAATTCTAGGACATTTATCCTGTGATAGAAAGTAGGATTTCAAAGGATCGTATATTTTCAAAATTCTTTCGACAGCTGGCAAAAGAGCTAACCAGCGCATTTTACTGTATTCAAGTATTTTGTGATATTCGACTTCCGCAGTTTCACAAAATTCTTTAAGCATTTCAACATGCTCAGTGTATATATAGAAATAAGAATATATTTTAATAACAATATTTTCCACATCTACGGGCAACAAGTCAGCAGCTGTTTGAAGGGCGTTATGTATTATGTGCGCTGCACAACCAACACCAATAATGTTTTGATTAAGGTTTTTGTTTAATTTATAAAAAATATTATTTGTGCCTCTTCTTGCTTTTCCTCTAAAATTTGTGTTCGTGTTGTCTACACAATATGCAATCATTTTATGTTTTAAATTGTTTTTTTCCAAACTATTAATAATGGAACTGAAAATTATTTCAGAAGTTTCGCCGGGCAAAGAAACGACATCTAAAATTCTAATTTTTATTCCAGTTTCCGAATCAAAAAATCTAATAATGGTTGGAAATAACTTTATATCCTTATGATTAGATGCGTCAGAATATATGGATATAAAATTAATTTTTTCTAGATTTTTGTTTAATTCTGAAAATGCATATGGGGAAAGCACATTACACACAATTGCCTCGGATTTTGTTCTAGCACAGGCAAATTTTTTGTTGAATAACTTTCTGACAACTTGTGATGTACAGTCCATAGATCTGAAGGAATGATTGTGATTAATAGCATGAAAAGACATAAGGCCTTCTGCTAATGCTAATTTCTTTTTTTGGCCTCCATAAGTTGTTTTCTGAAAATATTCCTGTATTTTGGAGGAAGATGCAGCAGTATTTAAATATCTTTTATGTTTCTGTGTCTCCAAGTGCTTTGAAATATCATTCTTCCCGCCGTGCGAAATAGAAAATTCACCATTACATTTCTCACATTTTACCATGTAATCGCTTTTCGTTTTTTTAATAAAAGGAAATTCACTTCTTAGATCATCGTTGAATTTGCATCCTCTTTTCTTACTCATGTTAAAAATCTAAAAAAAAAAAAATTAAAATTATATTATAAATTATTATATATATATTGCTTAAAAACACAGTAAGTAGGTACATAATTACATGAACATATTTTATTGTTAGTTTATAAATTAAGTTAATTTAAGAATGCTGCAACGGGCATAAATGATGACTGGCCATAACTGGGAGGACCGGTCAAAAGTGCGAGGACCAGTCAGAAATGACTTTTTTCAGCCCTCTGGGTAGTCTCTATGCACATAGGGACTGCTCAGAGGGCTGAAAACGTTGTTTTTGACCGGTCCTCGCCCTTTTGACTGGTCCTCGCACTTACGACTGTCCTCACATTTTACATTTTGCGCCCTATTTTGTCACCGTGAAGAGAAGCAGTTGTGAAATGAGTGACACAGTTGTTAAGAATGCTGCAACGGGCATAAATGATGACTGGCCATAAGTGGGAGGACTGGTCAAAAGTGCGAGGACCAGTCAGAAATGACTTTTTCAGCCCTCTGGGTAGTCCCTATGACCACCAAGCCAAGCCCCCAGAACCGGTTGTTTAAAAAATTGAATCCCACCATGGTTAGAAGTAATGGTAAAGCAAGATATGGATTTAAAACCAGAAATATTTTGTTTGATATTTTAAAGGGAATACAATACATATTTCATTTTACACATGTTAACAGCTGCTAGAATTGTGTTTGCAGAACAGTGGAAAAACAAAGATATGAAAATGAATAAAAACAATATTAGAATGTGCAGAAATGAATAAAGTAAAAATTTAAATCAAGGAGAAGGCTTCGAATATTTTTTTACGTGGGGTTTGTTTTATCAATGGCTCACTAACAGAAACAGAAGTTAGAAATATAAAAGTATAAAACACCAATGATATAAGGAAAGCTTACTAAAATGGATAAGCACATAGTATTAGTATTTGATTATGATTAACAACAGTTAACAACAGTTAACAACAGTTGTCCCCCAAAAGTCAGTTAAAACAAGTTGTTTCCTTAATCCTTAGGACAGGAAAGAAAGCCACTGGAATAAAAACCGTCATCAAGGCATTGTTGGAAGTATAGTACACCCCAAAAGGACAGTGCCAGGAACCTGCACCAGAAACCTCAGAAAACAGTGCCAAGAAATTCAACCCAGCCCTTCCCCCTTGAAAAAAAACCCCAGGCAAAAGCACCACCTTAAGTACAGTCATTAAAGGGAATCAGGCCAAAAATAACTCTCTTGGAAAACTCTCCATTTCCTCTTTCATGGCAGAATTAACCCCCAGGATAGGAAAGACAAAAGACCTGGGATTAACCCAGGTAAACAACACCCGGTGCTTATCAGGAACACATTGAAACCCATCAAGCTGCAGGAGCTCACAAAAGCTGCACAAAGCTGAAGGTATGCATAAAAATTATAGAACCTCAAAAACCAGTTATCATACTTATTTAATTATTTAATTAATTAATTTTTATACCGCCCTTCTCCCGAAGGACTCAGGGCGGTGAACAGTTAAAATAACATACATATAAAATGTGAATATAAGAGGATTAAGCCAATTTGGTTCATCGGGTTAAGAATCTTCAGCATAAAGATTTAGAACAATTAGAAGAGATTTATACCAGCCTGGCTTGGTGAAATAGAAAGGTCTTAAGTGCATGAAGATCTTAAGTAGGAAGATCTGGGATCATTCGTATCCCTGGGGGTAACCTGTTCCAAAGGGTAGGTGCCCCCACAGAAAAGGCTCTTTCTCTGGGAACCACACAAAATCTCACAAAGCTTGCACAAATCTGAACATACGAAAGGAGCTAAAATTTACTAAATTTTATGTGACTTTTTTCAAAAAAAAAAAAAATTACTTAAAAAGAATAACATTTCCACAAAACATTTCCTAAAAAGAAAAACTTCTCCCCCAAAAAAACATTTCCTAAAAAGAATAACATTATTACAATCATTTTTTAAAGGATAAAGGAAAAAAAAACCAGCCACTTACCCAATTGATGTTACAAGACAGGCAGAAGGTAGGCAGACAGGCAGGCTCAGCTGCTCACTGATGAAATGGATTGCAGCAGATGGATGCTTTCCACTTCCAGCGAGGTAGGTCTGCTGCAACTTGCAAGCCAGTTGGGCTTCAGCTACTGAAGACTGGCTGGGAAATGGATGGAAGTCGGACAAGGCAGGCAGGTAAGGCGGCTGGAGGGTGGAAAACGTTAAACCACCTGGGAGGGGCGGGAAGGCCCAAGCCGAGCCCCAGAAGCTACGGCAGGCCGGGGCTTGGGATGGCCTGAAGAAGCGTGGGGAGGAAACAGAGCTAGTTAAGGATTGTATGATAAAATGGGCACAAAATATTGGGGAACCAATAATGATGGAAACATGGGAAAAAATATGGGTTAGAAATATAAAATTTACGCAAGCCCAAAACTTAAGGGAGAATTTTTATAAAATGTTTTATAGATGGCATTTAGATCTTAAAAAGCTAGCCTGTATGTATCCAAGTTTACAACCTAAGTGTTGGAGATCTGAATGTGAAGATGCTATGTATTATCATATATGGTGCACATGTAAAAAAATTAAGGCTTTTTGGATAAAAATATGGTGGATTATTCAAAATATTTTAAAGAAAAAGATAAAATTTACCCCACAGTTCTTTTTGCTGGGCATAGTTACAGATTGTACGGTTATAGAGACTTAAGCTGATTTTAAATTTAATAACAGCAGCTAGACTGTTGGTGGCGCAGTACTGGAAGGAAGATTTAACTACTATTGAGGAATGGACGTTAAAAGTAGTGGACTTTGGAGAGATGGCAAAAATTTCAGCGTATTTGAAAGACCATTCAAATGAAAGATATGTACTGGAGTGGAGAAGATGGATCGACTATATTCAAAACAAGTATCAGACTAAAAAGCTTCAAATAGCCTATGAATGAAATATTCAATCTAGTTTTTAGTTCACGTTCATAGTTTTTTTCTTTTCGAACTATGCGGAGTTAAAGACCAAGGGAGAATTTGGAGTCAATAAAATGTTAGCATATTTTAGTTTATGATTGTTAAATGCTATACCCTGTATAAGAAGCGTGGGGAGGGGCGCGGGAAAGCACTAGCCGAACCTTGGTGGCTATGGTGGGGTAGCTTACCTATAGGCAGGATGAAGCAGGTTTGTTGGGGCACTTGCAGAACTCACAGGTCTAAGTCAGGAGGCGAGTAGTGGGCCGCGTGGCGAAGAGCTGCTTATATAGTATTTGGATGGGCGGGTCGAGGTTTGAATGGGCGAATGAGTGGTGAGTAGGGCAGGCAGGTGGGTCGGGTAAGCAAGCGGCGACTGGGCAGGTGGGATAAGCGAGCAGCGAGCAGCCGGCCCGGGAGTCCCGGAACCGGTTCAGGGGCGTGGCTAGCCAATTTTCTTACTGGTTCTCCGAACTACTCTAGATTTTTACTACCAAAAAATCCTTAGGAAATTAGGAGGGAATTTGGCTTTTTAGGGTTAGGGCAGGAGCGGCAGAACCAATGGGAATCCTCGCTGCTCCAGCGTCATCGGTCTCCGGGCAGAGTCCCCTGTGATGTCACCTGAAGGAGGAGGAGGGAGAGAAGCGGGGAAAGTGGGGGGGGGGATCCCCGCCTTCAACCCCCCCAAAGGCTCCGCTTCCTCCTCTCGTCTCTGGAGGCGAAATCTCCCCATCGATCCCTCCGTGGAAATGTTTTTTTTCCTCCTCCTCCCAGTTGAGCTTCATCTCCCTTTTCCACCCTCTTCCTCCCTGAGTTTCTCTCCAGTCAGAGAGGAGGCGCCATTTCCCCCCCTTCGCTTCCCAATGAAGGAGCCTCGTTCTGAGGTAAAATTTCTGGCCTCTCCGGAGATTTCCAGCTTTTCCCCATTGTGGAGCCTTTTTCTCTCCCTCCTCGGTCCCTTTCCAATCCTTTTCCCTCATGGAGGCCTCCCTGCCCGTCTCCCACCTTCCTCCCTTCAGGCAGGATTCCCCCAGAGAGCCCCCCGGTCCTCGTCTTCTGACCACCCGCCCGTTTCTGACAGGATTTTGGCCCCTTTGGAGGCCTCCTCCGATCTCCACGGAGCTTTTAGGGCGGCTGTTCTTCAGGGAGGCTCCGAGAGGTTTTTCTCCATCTTCACAGACGGTTCCTGGAGAGGAAAGGAGAGGAAGATGGAGAAAGAGCCGCCTCTGAAGACAGGGAGGCATAGAGACCGGCCTTTCTTTCCCCTACTCCCCGCCCTCTCTCTTCCCCTCAGACGCTCTCCTCTTTCCCGCCCTTTCTACCCTGGCACTTTGCGCCAAATCCACCAGGGGGCCAAGGGAACGGAAGTCCAGACGCTTCCCCATTGGCCCACTGGAGCCTTGCCCCTCTAGGACTTTGCACTCGCTCTCCTTAACCCCTAGAGGCCCGGAGGAGGCGGAGAGGCTGAGGGAGAGTCTAATTCTTGGCGTTTCTTTTTCTTCCCATCTCAGATACCGAAACTGGAAGCCATTTGTGGTCTTTGCAAGGCAAACTTTCCTCTTGGGGGAAGAAGAAAAAGAGCGGAATCCCTTGCAGGGATCAGTCCTGCAGCCCCAGAAATGGTCCCGTGAAGGAAAAGGCATCTGGAGACCCACCAGAGTCCGTGGAGCCATTTGCAGTTGCTCTGCAGGACAGAGAAAGGATGGAGACACAACCTTTTGCAAAGGAGGGAGCTGGAAAAGGCCCTTCAGCTGCTCAGCCTGGGAAGGGGGGGAAGCTCTGGACAAGACCCTGGCAGGAGATCCTGGAGGAGGAAACCATCCTCCCTTCAGAAGTTCAGCCCTGGAACTTCACCCAATACCGGGAGGCTGAGGGTCCCCGAGGACTTTGCAGCCGACTCCATGGCTTTTGCAGGCGATGGCTGAGACCAGAAAAGCTCACCAAAGCCCAGATGCTGGACCTGGTGGTTCTGGAGCAGCTCCTGTTCCTTCTGCCCCCAGAGATGGAGGGCTGGGTGCGGGAGTGTGGCGCAGAGACCAGCTCCCAGGCGGTGGCCCTGGCGGAAGGCCTCCTCTTGAGCCAGGGAGAGGAGCAGAAGGAGCAGGCCCAGTTGCAGGTAGGAGACTTTAGGGAGCTCAGAAGGGAATAGAGAATGTGGTTGAATACTTCACCCCTCCTTCCCAAACTTCTCTGACATTCATCGTATGTGGCAATCCACCAATTCTTGTAGGACATTGTTCCCTTGTTTTCTCCATGGGGGTGGTTATTGAGGGCTTTGAGGTTGTATTCCAAATATAAGAATCCACTTTATTTCGTGTGATGTATATTAATTCTGCTTCTTTTTTCCTTCCTCCTGTTTGAAGTGCTGCACTGTGGAGATCAGAGATCCTGAGGGAAAGAAGAACCCATCAAATCCCCCTCAGGAGCTATTTTTCAGGAGGATCCCTTGGGAAGATCAAAGTCAGGACATCTCAGGAGGTAATGGAAGATCCTCCGATTTCCCATCTGTCTTTCCTTCACTCTCTCTTCTTTGCTATAGAATAGCTCCTCCTATTTTGTTAATTATGCATTTTGAAATTATTTATTCATTACAGAGAAACAAAGAACGAAGCTTTCTGGGTTTTATGACGGGGATCAAACAGCGGTTGAATCTCCAAATCAAGTAAGAAAGGGAAAAGTGAATAGATTTGTATTCTTTCCTTCAGGAAGTGAAGTGGGTATGCAGAGGGCTCCCTCCTTCTATTTTTCCCCCTTGTTTGGCCTGGATTATTTTTGTGTTCTTCCACAACATGGAGAGCAGAATGGCAGGTTCAAGTTGCTGTCAGCCAGCGTAACTTCCTCTGGTTATCTTGCTCTGCTAGGTACTCGTCCAACTTTGACTTTAGAAGAAGCAATTTTTAAAAAGTCCTTCAAGAAATAGGAATAAATGTATTACAGTGGCAGGAACTGCTAGAGACCCATTTTTTTGTGTAATTCTTTGACTCGGAATTGTGCCTATTCTATGCCAGTGCATTTGGTTTTTCTTTCCTAAATTTAGGACCTTACATTTCTCAATGTTGATTTCATTTTGTTAGATGGGGCCCAATCTGTCGATCCTTCTATATCTGGAGCTTATCTTCTGGAGTGTTTGTATTCCTGTCAATTTGGTCTTGTCTGCAAATTTGATGAGTTCCCCTTCTATCCTCTTGTCTAAATCATTGATGAAGATGAACAGATCTTGCGAATCCTCCTGTTCTGTTCTTTTTTCCGTGTTCAGGAGAGTCTTGTGTCCTTCGAGGAGGTGGCTGTGTCTTTCTCTGAGGAAGAATGGTCTCAGCTGGATCCTGACCAGAAAGCGCTGCATTCGGAAGTCATGCTTGAAAACCATAGGAACGTGGCCTCTCTGGGTAAGAGTTCTCTAGTCCCCAATCAGAGAGTTCAAGAAGACAGATGATAGTTTTTTATTTAAAAAGTATTAATCAGATATCATCTCCTGGGAGGGAGAAGGAAAGGATCTGGCCTTCTCATACTCCAAGGAAGGAAAGAGTCAATGTCTCCTTGCTTAGATGCTTTCTGTGCCATTTCTTATCTGTATTTTTCCATTTCTATTTGAACTTACCTGTGGGGGCTGAGAAGAAGGAGGTGTGCTTTTATGTGTCCTCTGGAGGTCATGTGAGAGAAGTGTGTTGTCATTTGTCCTCTGAAACCTCCAAAATTGTGTGAGAACAGAACTTTCACACTCAGCCCATGGAAGAGCATTCTCCCAGGCCAATTCAAGAACAAAGGCCTCATGCAATGTCACTCAGAGCATCCTAGGGTACAGGTAATCCCCGAGTTATGACAGTTCACTTAGCGACCGTTCCAAGTTACGACCAGCCCTCCCCCAATTACTTGAGAACCAGTCTCGAAATTATGTGTTGCAGCACCACGGCCATCGTTCACACTTACAACATTCGCCCTACCTATTACCCCAACCTGCCGATACTTACCTTGGGACGATGTGGCGAGCTGTCGGTTCTTTTGCCTGCTTCTTTGCATTTGCAGAAAAAAGAGGCCTAAAGTAGTGAGAGATACGCAAGATCAATAGTGGGAAATCTAGCACTATTGATCTCACGTGATCTCGCACTCAGTGCTTTAGGCCTCTGTTCTCTGCTAACCAAGGCCTGTACGAGATCCAGGGCAAAAAGAGACGGAAGGCCTCTTTGTTTTCAAAGACTCTTGCCCTGGATCTAGTGCAGTTCTCAGTTCTTAAACGAACAGAGGCCTAAAGTAGTGCAGTGCAAGATCACGCAAGATTAGTAGCTTGAGATCTTGCATTACTGGTCTTGTGTGATCTCACACTAAAGTACTTTAGGCCTCCATTCTCTGTGAACTGATGCCTGTACCAGATCCGCCCAAAGAGCCCTTGGAAGCCGATGAGACTTTGGGGCAGCGAAATAGCCATTCTTGAAGCCTCCCAACCTTTCCAGTCTCAGCACGAAGAGCGTTTACAAGCCAATGGGAGGCTTCAGCAAGGGATTTTGCTCCAAAGACTCATTGGAGACTTTGGGCCGAGTGGGGGTCCCGCCTGCCAGACGGACACCATGGAGGAGCTGCTCCAAGGTACACTGGGGGACAAGGAACTTGTTTCAAAATTGTTTTCATTTCTCACAGGACTCTGGTGAAATTAATTCACCCCGATAAATCGTAAATTTTCTCCTAATTCCTCCTTGGATGTTTCCCCTGATTATTATGAAATTCAATGTTGAAAAAAGTAAGCTTCTACATTTAGGCAAGAACAAAATGCACATACGTGCATTTTGTATATGTGGTACCTTGCTCAATAGTAGTAACTGTGAGAGGGATCTTGGAGTCCTAGTGGACAACCATTTAGATATGAGCCAGCAGTGTGCAGCAGCTGCCAAAAAAGCCAACACAGTTCGAGGCTGCATGAACAGAGGGATAGAATCAAGATCACGTGAAGTGTTAATACCACTTTATAAGGCCTTGGTAAGGCCACACTTGGAATACTGCATCCAGTTTTGGTCGCCACAATGTAAAAAAGATGTTGAGACTCTAGAAAGAGTGCAGAGAAGAGTAACAAAGATGATTAGGGACTGGCGGTTAAAACAAAGTACGGTTGCAGGAACTGGGTATGTCTAGTTTAATAAAAAGAAGGACTAGAAGAGACATGATAGACCTGAGGGTAGGACAAGAAGCAATGGGTGGAAACTATCAAGGGGAGAAGCAACTTAGAACTAAGAAGAACTTTCCTGACAGAACAATTAATCAGTGGAACAACTTGTCTCCAAAGTTGTGAATGCTCCAACATTGGAAGTTTTTAAGAAGATGTTGGATAACCCTTTGTCTGAAGTGATGTAGGGTTTCCTGCCTAAACAGGGCGTTGGACTGGAAGACCTCCAAGGTCCCTTCCAACTCTGTTATTCCATTCTATTCTATTCTATTCTATTCTATTCTATTCTATTCTGTTCTGTTCTGTTCTATTCTATTCTATTCTATTCTATTCCATTCCATTCCATTCCATTCCATTCCATTCCATTCCATTCCATTCTTCTATTCCTTAACTCAAAACTGACTCAGAGTGAGATTTGCATATATAGAGATAATTGCAAAGAAAGAGATGTTTTCTAGATATTTTCAAAGCTTTCATGACTCATGAATATGGAAATCCTCATGCCCATATCACACCCCTGTAGGCATGCAAACATACAACCTAATGGAATTTTGGAGAAATTCAGAAGAAAATTCACTTGACTTTCTACGTTTTGATCGTTTTCTCTAACCTTGTTATCATTTTTGTTTCCCTTTTCCTTTGAAGGTAATAATGAGCAGGAGAATCAAGTTTCCTGTGAACTGCTCCAAGTGATCAATGCTAAAAATGGAATGGAGAAGTTTGGAATTCGAATGGAATTTGAAAGCCATGAGAGAAACCACTCAAAGAATTCGAATCAGGAAAACTCATCTTCCACTGATGCTCCGATGCAAGACTCTCTTGCCCAACAAGAGAAAATAAGGAAAAAATATACTGGAAAAAGTGTGAAACTAATAAAAGCTGAATTACAAGTAAATGAACACTATTTAACCCAAAACAAAGGAGAAGATGCTATAAGAAGACAAAATGGACAAAATTACAATGGGACATTCATTCTTTCTCTTGGAAATAACTTTCTTAAATCTCAAAAAGCGATTGACACAAAAGAGAAACCTTATAAATGTTTGGAATGTGGCAAATGTTTTAAAACAAGCTGGAATCTTACTTCCCATAACAGGATCCACACAGGGGAGAAACCATATAAATGCATGGAATGTGATAAAACCTTTGCTCATAGAGGTAATCTTATTTCCCATCAGATGACCCACACAGGGGAGAAGCCGTATAAATGCATGGAGTGTGGAAAGACCTTTGCTTATAGCAGTGGACTTACTATCCACAAAAAGCTCCACACAGGAGAGAAACCATTTAAATGCATGGAATGTGGAAAGACCTTTGCTCAAAGAGGTAATCTTATTTCCCATAAGATGATCCACACAGGGGAGAAGCCGTATAAATGCATGGAGTGTGGAAAGATGTTTACTCAGAGCAGTGCACTTAGAAGCCACAAAAAAATCCACTCAGGAGAGAAACCGTATAAATGCATGGAGTGTGGAAAGACCTTTGCTTATAGTAGTGGACTTACTATCCACAAAAAGATCCACACAGGAGAGAAACCGTTTAAATGCATGGAATGTGGAAAGACCTTTGCTCGAAAAGTTACTCTTATTTCCCATGAGATGATCCACACAGGGGAGAAGCCGTACAAATGCATGGAGTGTGGAAAGACGTTTACTCAGAGCAGTGCACTTAGAAGACACAAAACGATACACTCAGGAGAGAAACCATATAAATGCATGGAGTGTGGAAAGACATTTACTCAGAGCAGTGGACTTAGAAGCCACAAAAAGATCCACTCAGGGGAGAAGCCATTTAAATGCATGGAATGTGGAAAGACCTTTGGTCAAAGAGCTCATCTTATTTCCCATGAAAGGATCCACACAGGGGAGAAGCCGTATAAATGCACGGAGTGTGGAAAGACCTTTGCTCAAAAACGTAATCTTATTTCCCATAAGATGAGCCACACAGGGGAGAAGCCATATAAATGCATGGAGTGTGGAAAGACCTTTGCTCGAAAACATCATCTTATTTCCCATAAGATGAGCCACACAGGGGAGAAGCCGTATAAATGCATGGAGTGTGGAAAGACCTTTGCTGAAAAACGTAATTTTATTTCCCATAAAATGAGCCACACAGGGGAGAAACCATATAAATGCATGGAGTGTGGAAAGAGCTTTACTCAGAGCAGTGCATTTAGAAGCCACATAAAAATCCACTCAGGAAAGAAACCATATAAATGCATGGAGTGTGGAAAGACGTTTGCTCGTGGCAATGGACTTAGAAGACACAAAATAATCCACACAGGAGAGAAGCCGTATAAATGCACGGAATGTGGAAAGACCTTTGCTCATAGACGTAATCTTATTTCACATGAAAGAAGCCACACGGGGAGAAGCCATATAAATGCATGGAGTGTGGAAAGACCTTTGCTCAAAAACATAATCTTATTTCCAATAAAATGATCCACACAAGAGAAGCCATATAATTGCATGGAATGTTAAAAGAGTTTTGCTCAGAATGGTCATCTTATTTCTCATAAAAGGATCTACACTCAGGAGAAACTACGGTGTTTTCCCGAAAATAAGACAGGGTCTTATTTTCTTTTGACCCCCAAAATAAACGCTTGGCGTCATTTTTGGGGAGGTCTTATTATTTTTGAGATGCAGGAGGCCCCTAAACTGCAGCCCACGGTTCAGTGATCCAGCGAGGGCTGGAAGTTCTGTTTCTTTTTCTGGCACACTCTTACCAGCCCTAGCGTCACTGGGCCTCCTCGTTGCTTCCTGTGTCATCCCGGTGCTGAAACAGCCAGCCAGGGGGCTGCGTCAGATCATCTTCAGGGAAGCCATGGCTGCAGCTCATGCTCCTCCAGGCCCGGCTTGCTGAGGAGGGGGTGAGCAGCCCTGATGCCTCCACTGCCCCTCCCACGGACTCAGTACTGCCAACCTTCCTCATAGGTGCAGTGTGTTTCAAAGGTAGCAGCTCATGGCAGTGTCGTCTTTTGGGAAGAAAGGAGTAGCAAAGAGCCACAAGGAGACAGAGAGAAAGAAAAGAAGGAGAGAGAGAGAGAGAAATGAGCTGACTTTGTATAAATATACAAAAGGATGAAGGCTATTGCTTAGCACATTGTAAGCTGCCCTGAGTCTCCGGAGAAGGGCGGCATATAAATCAAATTTTAAAAACAACAACAATGATGGAGGAAGAGGATGAGAGAGAGGAAAAAGAGAAACGAATGAGAGAGAGAGAGAAAGGAAAGAGAAAGAAAGAAAAAGGGAGAGGGAGAGAGTAAAGAAAAACAAATGAGGGAGGGAGGGAGAGAAATGAGAAAAAAGAAAGAAATGAGAACATGATGGAGGGAGAGGATGAGAGAAGAAAAAGAAATGAGAGAATGGGGAGAGAAAGAAAAGAGGAAAAAAGTGTGAGAGAAAAAACATGAGGGAGGGAGAGAGAAATGAGAAAATGGGGAGAGAAAGAAAAGGAAAGAGAGTGAGGAAAAAGAGAAAAACAAATGAGAGGGAGGGAGGGAGAGAGAAAAAGGGAGAAAGAGAGAGAAATAAAACGATGGAGGGAGAGGTTTCCCCACACACAGGGAAACCACAATGCTCATGTATGTACAACAATCAATTTATTCAAATTCAACAATTTTTTCAAATACAGTCATGTCATTTTCTGGAACATCGTCAAAACTCCACACCCTGAATTCCAGTCTGAATTTCTTGTGAGTCCATTTCGTTTAAAGTCATTAGTCCCAATCGCTGATGTTTAGCAATAGAGGTCTCCTTAAAAGAGTACCTCCTGTCCATGTAGCCTACATTTGCAACACAGTAGTCACTTATTTTGTCCCTTATCTTGATCCAAGTCACAAACTCTGGCAGGCTAGGCTTCACAAAGTTTCCACACTGGTTTCTTGCGCTAGGCAAGAAACTTTTTTCATATCTTTTGCACGGTGAGTGCTGACTGAATTCCAGATCAGCATAACTCTTTGGCCACCTCGTACAAGAAGAGGGAGCATTAGCTCCGCCCACTTCCTGATAGCCCCTTGGGTGCACCAGGCCTTTTCAGTTTCAGTTTCAGTTTTTCCTTCTTTCCCTTGGTGATTATTAGCGGTGTGACTTTGCTTCCATCCAGCCAAATAGCCAATATGTACGTCGCATGTGCACTTTCATATCCCGTTGACGGAATATAAATCGATGTGGCACCCCTCTGATCAATTGTTGTTTCAGCTCCTTGGCCCACAAACACTGCAGTTTCGTCCATGGCAATCATGTTGGAGAGCTGGTACTTGGAAAAGTCAATGCCATCAACGAAGGACTTGAATGCAAGTGCCCGTATGACAAGTTCAGCATCTTCCAGCTTGAACCACAAGGAGAATCTCCTCAGAGACAGTTCATATCGCTGAAGGAAGCCATCCAGCTAGTGTTGAGAGGCTTTGAATTATTCCTGGGTAATTTCCAACTATGGTGCCATTGCAAGGGCAAATGCTTGAATATCAGCCCTGCGTACAACCAAAGTGTGGAAATTGGGATCGTAGAAACACCCAGGAGCATAGAAGAGTCCAAAGGCAGATGCATGAATAAATGTAATAAATGTATTTATTCATATAACAAAACATATTAACTATATACAAAGGCTGTCTTAATTTCCATTAGGATAGGGGGCACACAGCGTGTGTGACTACCCCTATCAAAGATCATGTCTCATGGAGAACAAACGTAAAAGAGAGCATGGTGGAAAGGTTAGAGGGGGTTTTATACTCAGTGTAAGACCCTCCTCTCCACATAGGGGTGGGGGCACTTTCTGCCTCCACTAGTGTCTGTATGATACATGTGCCAATGGTTTGCAAATACTTGACACAAAGCCTTTGCTCTCCTGTCAGCGATCCATTCGGGATGCTGTCTTCAAGTTCAGGAAATAATGGTTGCCGACCTGATCCACACTTGTGCTTCTTACCATTTCCCTCCTGCACCTGTTAAATGAGGTCATCGTATTTTCCTCTCCATTTTCGGACCATATGGAGATCCAACAAGCTGCCAGATTCTTGCCCTGAGAATCCTCCACGATTCCTTTCTTGAATTCCACGGAGTAGCTCTTCCTTTTTGAGCTCAACTTGTCTGGGGGTCAAAATAAAAGTCATTTTAGATCATTAAATCCATTAATCCAAAACCCTGGGGGTGTGGTGGTTGGGATTTGGTGTGTGATGTGTGATGTCAGCCTCCGCTCTTTCATTGCTTACTTGCTCGGCTGCCATGAAACGGGGGGAGGGGGGAGCTATTGGAATTTTTGGGAGGGGGGAAGTGAGCTGAAGGAGAAGAAAGAGATAAAACTTTGCTGCAGCGTTTTCTTTGAAGCTGATAAGGTCAACGGTCATGGCATAGCAGGAGGATGACACTGCCAGACATTTGCACCCACATGATCCCTGGAGAAATTGTGGATTGGATGATTTACGCTGGACAGTTGGGGAGGATCCTTTCTATATGGGATTTTCGCGCCTTTGCTTCAGATCTTGCTTTTCGTTGGTTGCATTCAGTTCTCACTCAGTAAAAGTACCTTTCTCTATGAAAATGGAGTCGGGGTTTTTCTTTCTTGAGTGTTGAAAGGAAGCATGCCTGACAGTTTAGGGTTTGCAATTGTGGTTTCCCTGGGGGGGGGTTAGGGCAGGGGTCTGCAACCTTAAAACACTCAGAGCCATTTGACCCGTTTCCCACAAAACCTGGGTGGGCATGTTGAATTTCATTTTGTTAGATAGCGCCTAATGTTCAAGTCTGTCAAGATCCTTCTGTATCTTGAGCCTATCTTCTGGAGTGTTGGCTATTCCTGCCAGCTTGGTGTCATCTGCAAATTTGATGAGTTCCCCATCTATCCCCTCGTCCAAGTCATCTAATTTATTCGGATTCTCCTGAATAAAGATTTGGCCCTTATATATTCTGTCCTCTCAGATCTGCAAAATTTATTTATTTGTATTTATTGCTATTAAAAAAAGAGCAGCTCTGGGTGGTGCACAATATATTATAACCCCAAAATAAAAATATATAAAAAATAAAGTTAAAAACTAAATCACAATTAAAAGTTTTGAAATTATACAACGATGACAATTAAGCATCAAAAGGGGAAAAATATATCCAGCTCCTTCCCATCAGTCCTATAATTCCCAAGGTCCAGAAAACCGACCTTGGGAAAACAACTTCCCTCCAGAAAATCCATCCAAATATTTTGTGGGGATGGGTGGGAGGAAGAATCCAGCAAGGTCTCTCTTCTGCCCAGTTTATAGATATATTTCTTTATCATTGATTTATTTATCATGCTGTTCATGCCTTCCCTATCTTCTGGGTTTCTTTCCATCTCCACCACATCTGTCAGAAGGTTCCTTTTGTTTCAGGGTGTTTCCAGCATTTATTTCTGTCGGATTTGTGCAATTTGATGATGGAAACCAATCCCAATCAGGAAGGATTTATGTTTTTCCATCTTTCAGGACCTCTTTTAATTTCTTGCTGCAATTTGCTTTGAAAGATGACTCAAAACACAGAATATTTTTAGGAGTGAAAAAGGTTCCTGGCCTGAACTAACCAACTTGGTCTCCTGTTCTAGGCCCTGTTGTGTCTCTTATGTCCTTCCTCATCCTCCTTCCCTCCAGCCAAGCCCACCGTCACCATCTCCCCCACCAAGATGGACCCTGCTTTGACAGGCTTTTACCCCGTGGAGATCGAGGTCCAGTGGCTGAAGAACGGGTGGCCAGAGAAGGAGGGTATGGCCTTCGGGGAGGAACTGCAGAATGGAGACTGGACCTATCAGCTCCAGGTGATGCTGGAGACCCAGCCCCAGCAGGGGGACCTCTACACTTGCCAGGTGGGGCAAGCCAACCTGGTTGCCCCTATCACCATCCAGTGGGGTAAGCCCCTCCCCTCTCTCCCCTCCTGGTCTGGGACCCCATCCTGCCCTGAGAAGGGGGAAAGACCCTCCCTATGGGGAGTGCAGGAATGGACCCTCCTGGGAGAAGGTGGGGCTGATCATCCTGCTCAGCTGAAGCTTCTTCTCCTTCCCCAGAGCCCCGTTCCTCCAGCTCTGCCAGGAGCAAACTCTGGATGGGGATCATGGGGGCCATGATAGGAGTGACGTTCCTGGCTATGGGGCTCTTCTCCTACCTGAAGAGCAAGAAAGGTGAGTCTGGGGGACTGGAAGAAAGGTTGTGGGGAGGGGACCCTCTAGGGGAGGCATCTCCTCAAGCTTAACAGGTGGCCAGGAGGGGCCTCTTGAGTTTGGTAACTTCTATTCTTTGATGGGCTATTAAGGGAAGATAATGCAACCTCAACTCAAAAATCTCACTGAGGATGTTTCCAAGATTTGTAAAATTACAGAAGGGAAGGTGGAGGAGGCGGCCCCGTCTGTCATTTGGGGTAGGAAGCACTCCAAGTTCATGGCCAACCCTTCCTCCCTAGCTCCTCCCCATGCATTTCACACTATTTCTGGCAAAGTGAGAACAGGCTCCCCCTTTCCTGCCATCCCCATCCCAGCAGCATCTTTTTGGTTAAAATCCCCTCCTCCTCCTCTCTAAACACTCATGGCTTGTACAGCCTGGGAAACTTTGTTTCCCTTCAGAAAATATACAATGTAGCAAATTGTCCCTAAAAGCCAAATCCAAGGAACCCAAATAGACAGAAGGTGATCAAAGAAAGTGAAAAAGACAAAAAACACACCCACAACTTCCTCCCCTCTATAAGAAACAACCACCAGAACTACACACACAGCAAAGAAAGGAAATTATGGGTATAGAAAAGGACAATTCAGATGTTTTGGAGGGTGGGGGGTTTCCTTGACCCTCCCCGTCCAGGCAGAGGCAGTAAAGGGAGCCCCTCCCTCCAGTCCCTGCCTATCAACCATCCCCCTGCAGTGTAGGCCTGACTGGGGGCCTGAAACAGAGGGAGAGGGGAACTATTTGCAGCAGTGTCTTATTTCTACCGCAGGTTTTGCTTTATATTCTCATTTTCTTCCCCGTCTCTTTTTCCCACAGAACTCCTGAGTTGATCCTGCCCTCCTTCACGCTTCGATGGGAGAATTTCTGCCTTTGAGGGACATTGAAGGGGGCTGATTGGGGCAGATTCTCTCCAGGTGGATAAAATCCCTCCATCCCTGAATTTTGGATACTCAATAGAACAGAACAGAACAGAACAGAATAGAATTCTTTATTGGCCAAGTCTGATTGACACACAAGGAATTTGTCTTAGGTGTATATGCTCTCAGTGTACATAAGGAGAATGAAATACATTCATCAAGAATAAAAAGATACAACCCTTAGTGATAGTCAAGGTTACTAATAATCTATCAAATTGTACTAGGAAACAAATAAAACCAATATAATTGAAAGATACAAGCGACATATTTATAGTAATAAGTGGGAAGAGATAGATACTAGTAAGGAAGAGAATAATAATAGTAATACAGTCTTAATAAATTATTTGACAGTGTTGTGGGAATTATTTATTTAGCAGAGTAATGGCGTTTGGGAAAAAACTTGTGTCTAGTTGTTGTGAAGTGCAGTGCTCTATAGCGTGATTTTGAGGGTAGGAGTTGAAACAGTTTATGTCCAGGATGTGAGGGGTCTGTAAATATTTCCCCAGCCCTCTTTTTGACTGGTGCAGTATACAAATCCTCAATGGAAGGCAGGTTGGTAGCCATTGTTTTTTCTGCAGTTCTGATTATCCTCTGAAGTCTGTGTCTGTCTTGAGTTGCAGAACCAAACCAGACACTAATGGAGCTGCAGATGACAGACTCCATCATTCCTCTGTAGAACTGGATCAGCAGCTCCTTGGACAGTTTGAGCTTTCTGAGTTGGTGCAGAAAGAACATTCTTTGTTGTGCTTTTTGATTATGTTTTTGATGTTAGGTGTCCATTTTAAGTCTTGAGATATGATAGAACCTAGAAACCTGAAGGATTCTACTGTTGATACTGTGTTGTCTAGTATTGTAAGAGGTGGTAGTATGGGAGGGTTTCTCCTAAAATTCACCATCATTTCTACGGTTTTGAGTGTATTTAGTTCAAGATTGTTCTGGTTGTACCACAAGGCTAGTTGTTCAACCTCCCGTCTGTATGTGGATTCATCATTATCTCGAATGAGACCAATCACTGTTGTATCATCTGCAAACTTCAGTATTTTAACAGAGGGATTGTTTGAGATGCAGTCATTGGTGTATAGAGAGAAGTGGAGAGAGCACACAGCCTTGGGGGGCTCCTGTGCTAATTGTGGAGGTATCTAATGTGATTTTGCCTAGCTTCACCTGCTGCTTCCTGTCTGTTAGGAAGCTTATGATCCATTTACAAGTGTGGTCAGGTACAGCTAGTTGATTTAGTTTAGTTAGAAGAATATCTGGAATGATGGTATTGAATGCTGAAGAGGACCCTTGCATAAGTCTTTGGAGATTCAAGATGTTGTAGGATGTAGTGCAGAGTCATATTAACAGCATCATCTGTCAATCTATTTGCTCCGTAGGCAAATTGCAAGGGGTCTAACAGTGGGTCCGTGATTGTTCTCAGGTGGCCCGAGCACTAGTCTTTCAAAGGTCTTCATAACTACAGATGTTAGAGCAACCGGTCTGAAATTATTCAGTTCCTTGATGGAGGGTTTGTTCAGCACTGGGATGATAGTAGAGCATCTGAAACAGGAAAGAATATAGCACATCTCTAGTGATTTATTAAAGATGCAGGTGAAGATGGGGGCCAGTTGTTCAGCACAAGTTTTTAAGCAAGAAGGAGTTATCTTATCTGGACCTGGTGCTTTTCCTGACTTTTGTCCGTGAAATAGAGTTTGCACCTCATTCTCTGTAATGGTGGTGAGCCCAATGAGATAGGGTAGGTTGTAGGAGGCTTAGCAGTTGTTGATGTGTCTGAGATGGTGATTATGGAGATAGGTGGTAGTAGTTTTCTCTCAAAACTGCAGTAGGACACATTCAGGTCATCTGCCAGTTGTTGATTTCCTTCAGTTTGGGAAGGTTTGCTGTAACCAGTGATATTTTTAAGAGCTTTCCACAAGTTTGCTGGTTCATTTGTTGAGAACTGATTCTTTTGCTTTTCAGAGTACCTACTTTTTGATGCTCTGATCTCCCTTGTTAACACGTTTCTGGCCTGCTTGTACAGCATTCTATTGCCTTTTCTGTAGGCTTCCTGTTTGGAACCACGTAGCTGTAGGTTTATTGTTACTGTATATTCGCAGGGTTCTTGTCGGCACACATAGGTCTTCACAAAAACTGACATATAATGTTACAGTATCTGTGAGTTCGTCCAAGTCTTCAGAGGTATCTTCATTTCATGAAGAATTTCATGACGGCCGTTTGTTGCGGCCCTTTCTTGATCGGGATTCCCTGTCACAGTCACTCACGCCCTCGTCACCTCGCGCCTGGACTACTGCAACGCTCTCTACATGGGACTCCACTTGAGGAGCACCCGGAGGCTCCAACTGGTCCAGAATGCGGCCGCGCGGGTAATCACGGGAGCCGCTTGGCGCTCCCACATAACACCGCTCCTGCGTGAGCTGCACTGGCTCCCAGTGGTCTTCCGGGTATGCTTCAAGGTGTTGGTTACCACCTTTAAAGTGCTCCATGGCATAGGACCTAGTTATCTTCGAGACCACCTACTGCTACCGATGACCTCCCACCGACCTGTGCGCTCCCACAGAGAGGGCCTCCTCGAGGTGCCATCAGCCAAACAATGCAGGCTGGTGACCCCTAGGGGGAGGGCCTTCTCTGTGGGGCACCTACCCTCTGGAATCAGCTGCCCCCAGATATAAGGAGAATCCAAGACCTTGGTGCCTTCCGCCGTGCCCTTAAAACTTTCTTTTTTCAGCAAGCCGGGCTGGCTTAACATATTTTTTAACACATTTTTAATTTTTTAATTGGTTTGTTATCTTAAATCGGGGCCAAATTAATATATATCCTTTTAATTGTTTTTTAATGTTTGTATTGTATGTTTTTATCTGGCTGTACACCGCCCTGAGTCCCTCGAGAGAAGGTGCAGTATATAAATTCGAAATAAAATAAAATAAAAATAAAATAAATAAATGACGAATTTCATGACGAGGTAATTTCATGAAATTTTCCACATTAAATTTAATTTTGTTGGATTCAACCTTGTTTCATTTGGATCAAAAAGGCACAATATGCATACACATACAAATCTATATGGTATAGAGAGACATGGTCGCTCACTGGTTAGAGTGCAGTACTACAGGCTAATTGCCCACAGCCAAGAGTTCGATCCTGACTGGCTCATGGTTGATTCAGGCTTTCATCCTTCTGAGGTGGGTAAAATGAGGACCCAGATTGCTGGGGACAATATGCTGACTTTGTAAACTGCTCAGAGAGTGTGGTAAAGTATTGTGGAGTGGTATATAAGTCTAAGTGGAATTGCTATTGCTATATAGTTTCTCCCGAGCGTGGATCCTTTTATGAGAAGTAAGATGACCATTCTGAGCAAAGCTCTTTCCACATTCCATGCATTTATATGGCTTCTCTCCTGTGTGGATCATCTTATGGGAAATAAGATTACCTTTTTGAGCAAAGGTCTTTCCACAATCCATGCATTTAAATGGCTTTTCCCCTGTGTGGATCATCTTATGGGAAATAAGATTACGTTTTTTAGCAAGGGTCTTTCCACACTCCATGCATTTATATGGCTTCTCTCCTGTGTGGCTTCTTTTATGGGAAATAAGATCACATTTATGAGCAAAAGTCTTTTCACATTCCGTGCATTTAAATGGCTTCTCTCCTGAGTGGATCTTTTTGTGTCTTCTAAGTCCACTACCATGAGTAAATGTCTTTCCACACTCCATGCATTTATACGACTTCTCCCCTGTGTGGATCATCTTATGGGAAATAAGATAACTTCTTTGAGCAAAGGTCTTTCCACATTCCATGCATTTAAATGGTTTTTCTCCTGTGTGGAGCTTTTTGTGGCTTCTAAGGCCACTGTTCTGAGCAAAGGTCTTTCCACACTCCATGCATTTATATTGTTTCTCTCCTGAGTGGATCTTTTTGTGGCTTCTAAGGCCACTGCCATGATTAAACATCTTTCCACACTCCATGCATTTATATGGCTTCTCCCCTGTGTGAATCATCTCATGGGAAATAAGAGTAACTCTTTGAGAAAAGGTCTTTCCACATTCCATGCATTTAAATGGTTTCTCCCCTGTATGGAGCTTTTTGTGGATACTAAGTCCACTACTATAAGCAAAGGTCTTTCCACACTCCATGCATTCAAATGGCTTTTCCCCCATGTGGATCTTTTTGTGGATAGTAAGTCTACTTCTCACAGCAAAGGTCTTTCCACACTCCATGCATTTATATGGTTTCTCTCCTGTATGGATCATCTTATGGGAAATAAGAGTAACTCTTTGAGCAAAGGCCTTTCCACATTCCATGCATTTATATGGTTTGTCCCTTGTGTGGATCCTTTCATGGGAAGTAAGTCTACAGCTACGAGCAAAGGTCTTTCCACACACTTTGCATTTATATGGTTTCTCCCCTGTGTGGATCCTTTTATGGATAGTAAGTGTACTGCCATGAGCAAAGGTCTTTCCACACTCTATGCATTTATATGGTTTCTCCCCTGTGTGGATTCTTCTATGGATAGTAAGTTGCCTCCTTGTTCTAAAACATTTTCTACATTCCAAACATTTATAAGGCTTCTCTTTTGTGTCAATCGCTTTTTGAGATGTAAGGAAGTTATTTCCAAGAGAAAGAATGAATGTCCCATTGTAATTTTGTCCGTTGTGTCTTCTTATAGCATCTTCTCCTTTGTTTTGGGTTAAATAGTGTTCATTTACTTGTATTTTAGCTTTGATTAACTTCACACTTTTCCCAACATATTTTTTCCTTATTTTCTCTTGTTGGGCAAGAAAGTCTTGCATCGGAGCATCAGTGGAAAATGAGCTTTCCTGATTCCAATTCTTTGACTGGTTTCTGTCATGGCTTCCATATTCCATTCGAATTCCAAACTTCTCCGTTCCAACTTTAGTATCAATCACTTGGAACAATTCATAGGAATCATGATTCTCCTGCCCATTATTACCTTCAAAGCAAATGAGAAATGAAAATGATAACAAAGTTAGAGAAAAAGATCAAAGTATAGAAAGCCAAGTGAATTTCTTTCTGAATTTCTCTGAAATTCTATTAGGTTTTATATTTCCATGCCTACAGTGGTGTATATAGACATGATTTCTAGAGTCACGAGTCATGAAAGCTTTGAAAATATCTAGAAAACATCTCTTTCTTTACAGTTATCTCTATAAATGCAAATCTCATTCAGAGTCAGTTTTGAGTTAAGGAATAATCAGGGGAAACATCCAAGGAGGAATTAGGAGAAAACTTAAAATTTATTGGGATGGGTTAATTTCAGCAGAGACCTGTGAGAAACAAAACAACTTTGAAACAAGCTCCTTCTTCCCTGGTGTACCTTGGAGCAGCTGCTCCACAGTGTCCGTCTGGTGGGCGGGACCCCCGCTCGACCAGTTCCTTGATCCCAACGAGCTTTTCCTTGGAGCAAAATCCCTTGCTTGAAGCCTCCCATTGGCTTGTAAATGCTCTTTGTGCTTAGACTGGAAAGGTTGGGAGGTTTCAAGAATGGCTATTTCATTGCCCCAAAGTCTCATAGCTTGGAAGGGCTCTTTGGCCGGATCTGAGGCTTCGGTTTGCATAGAATGGAAGCCTAAAAGTACTTCAGTGCGAGATCACACAAGACCAGTAGTGAAAGATCTCGGGCTACTAATCTCACATGATCTCACACCGCGGTACTTTAGGCCTGCGTTCTTTTATAAACAGAGGATTGCATGAGATCCAGGGCAAAATTCACTGAAAACAAAGAGGCCTTCCCTCTCTTTGCAAAGCATTTTGCCCTGGATCTCATGCAGGCCTTGGTTAGCAGAGAAAAGAGGTGTAAAGCACTATAGCATGAGATCACATGAGATCAATAGTGCTAGATTTCCCACTATTGATCTCGCGTATCCTGAACGATTTTAGGCCATTTTTGTGCAAATGCACCAAAGTAGCAAAGGAACCGACGGCTTACCACATTGTCGCAAGTTACCATATTTTTCAGACCATAATACGACCTAGGTTTAGAGAAGCAAAACAGGAAAAATAAACAGTTTTTGGGCTGTGCGTGTCCCATTTTTGCCCTCCCCAGCATCCAGAAACAGTCTGCATGCCAAAAACGGGCCTGTTTTTGGCATCCCAAATCATCCGCGCGTCCTGTTTTAAGACCAAAAACAGCACCCACAAAGGCCTTAGGAGGCCAAAAGCAGATCCGATTTTGGCTTGCAGAGAGCTTCTGGATGCCAGGGAGGGCAGAAAGGGGACGCACGGAGGGCTTGGGAAGCCAAAACTAGGCGTGTATTTGCTGTATAAGATGCACAGACATTTCCACTCCCTTTTTTGGGTGGGGAAAGTGTGTCTTATAGTAACTCCTGGCGGGGTGGAATGGGGGAATAGGTAGAATGTTGGTAGGTGCTAGTGTTGACCTATAAAGCCCTTCATGGCTTAGGCCCAAGATATCTGTCGGACCACCTGCAACCAGCATCGACTTCCCATCGCCCGGTGCGTTCTCACAGAGAGGGCCTACTCAGGGTGCCGTCAGCTAGACAATGTCGGCTGGCAACCCCCAGGGGTAGAGCTTCTCTGTGGGCGCGCCCACCCTCTGGAATCAACTTCCTTGGGTCTTCGATTGGCCCTGGACCTTTGTACCTTCCGCTGTGAGCTTAAGACATGGCTGTTTAAACGCCCTAGCCTGGACTGATGGGGTCTACTGTTTTAAATTGGTTTTAGTCTGTTTTAGTCTGTTTTAATGTGTATTTATTGGGATAGTTTCGCTGATGTGAGCCGCCCTGAGTCCTTTGGAGAGAGGGAGGCATATAAATCCAATAAATAATAATAATAATAATAATAATAATAATAATAATAATAATAATAATAATGATGTTGCAGCACCTCTGCTGTCATGCGTAAGTATGAACCTGTAACCTGTACCCTAGGATGCTCTGAGTGACATTGTATGAGGCCTTTGTTCTTGAACTGCATTGGGAGAATGGTCTTCCATGGGCTGAGTGTGAAAGTTCTGTTCTCACACAATTTTGGAGGTTTCAGAGAACAAATAATAACACACTCCTCTCACATGACCTCCAGAAGACACATAAAAGCACACCTCATTCTTCTCAGCCCCCACAGATAAGTTCAAATAGAAATGGAAAAATACAGATCAGAAACGACATAGAAAGCATCTAAGCAAAGAGACATTGACTCTTTCCTTCCTTGGAGTACGAGAAGATCCTTTCCTTCTCCCTCCCAGGAGATGATATCTGATTAGTGGTTTTTTAATAAAAAGAACTAACTATCATCTGTCTTCTTGAACTCTCTGATTGGGGACTAGAGAACTCTTACCCAGAGAGGCCACGTTCCTATAGTTTTCAAGCATGACTTCCGAATGCAGCGCTTTCTGGTCAGAATCCAGCAGAGACCATTCCTCCTCAGAGAAAGACACAGCCACCTCCTCGAAGGACACAAGACTCCCCTGAACACGGAAAAAAGAACATAACAGGAGAATTTGCAAGATCTGTTCATCTTCATCAATGATTTAGACAAGAGGAGAGAAGGGGAACTCATCAAATTTGCAGACTAGACCAAATTGACAGGAATAACAACACTCAAGATACAGAAGGATCAACAAATTGGGCCCCATCTAAAAAGATGAAATCAACAGTGAGAAATGTAAGGTTTTACATTTAGGAAAGAAAAACCAAATGGACTGGCACAGAAGAGGTGACATCTGGCTCAACAGTAGTAAGGGCAACAGGAGTCTTGAAGTCCTAATGGACATCCACTTAAACAGGAGTCAACAGTAGGCTACAGTTGCCGAAAAAACCCCAACAGAATCATAGGCTGCATTAAGAGGGATAGAATCAAGATGACATGAAGTGTTAGTACCACTTTATAATGCCTTGGTAAGACCACACTTGAAATATTGCATCCAGGTTTGGTTGCCAGATGTAAAAAAGATCTTGAGACTCTAGAAAAAGTGCAGAGAAGAGTGGACTGGAGGCTAAAACATATAAAGAACGGTTGCTGGAATTGGGTATGTCTGGTTTGATGAAAAGAAGGACTAGATGGGGTGACATGATAGAAGTGTTCCAAGAAGCAATGGATGGAAATGATTCAAGGAGAGAACCAACTTACAAGTAAAGTGAAATTTCCTGACAGTGAGAAAAATTAATCAGTGGAATGACTTGCCTCCAGAAATTGTGGGTGCTCCAACACTGGAGGTGTTTATGAAGAAATTGGACAGCCATTTATCTGAAATGTTATAGGGCTCCCAGTCTGAGCAGTGGGTTGGACTAGAAGACCTCCAAGATCCCTACCAACTCTGTTATTCTGTTCCATTGTTCCCAAAGCAAAGATATGCACTAATTTTAGGTGAGAAAATGGGAAAATCTGAAAATTGCTTTCACTGAAGAAATATTTGGGGAAGTTTTATCAAGTTCATTGATTCTGCAAAACCTTCAGTGCCTTTCAGCAAAGTAATCCCACTTCTGGATCAACTGATCTATTGCTCTGTCTATCATTGATTGATCTAGTAGTCTGAGCCACTGGCTGAAAGGAAGAAAACAAGGAAGAGAAAACTACAGGTTATAAATAAGGCTTTTTAAAAATGGTAATGTGGTAATGTGAGTATTTATTTATCTTTCATTAGCCATGCATAATTCTGAGTCAAAGAACTGCCCCCCAAAAAAGAGGGTTTTAGCAGTTCTTGCCACTACGATACATTTATTCCTATTTCTTGAAGGGCTCTTTAAAAATTGCTTCTTGCAAACTCAAAGTTGGAGGAGTACCTAGCAGAACAAGATAACCAGAGGAAGCTATGCTGGCTGACAGCAACTTGAACCTGCCATTCTGCTCTCCATGTTGTGGAAGAACACAAAAATAATCCAGGCCAAACAAGGGGGGGAAATAGAAGGAGGGAGCCCTCTGCACACCCGCTTCACTTCCTGAAGGGAGAATAGAAATCTAATAACTTTTCCCTTTCTTACCTGATTTGGAGGTTCAACCGCTGTTTGATCTCCATCATAAAAACCAGAAAGCTTCATTCTTTGTTTCTCTGTAAAGAATAAATAATTTCAACATGAATAATTAACAAAATAGGAGATATTCTATAGAAAAGAAGAGAGAGTGAAGGTAAGACAGATGGGAAATCGGAGGATCTTCCATTACCTCCTGAGGTGTCCTGACTTGGATCTTCCCAAGGGATCCTCCTGAAAAACAGCTCCTGAGGGGGATTTGATGGGTTCTTCTTTCCATCAGGATCTCTGATCTCCACAGTGCAGCACTTCCAATAGGAGGAAGGAAAAAAGAAGCAGAATTAATGTACGTCATACGACACGAAGTGGATTCTTATATTTGGAACACAACCTCAAAGCCCCCAATATCCTTCTGTGAGGTTGAGTGAGAAAACAAGGGAACAATTGCCACATATGATGAATGTCAGAGAAGTTTGGGAAGGAGGGTGAAGTATTCAACCACTTTCTCTATTCCCTTCTGAGCCCCCTAAAGTCTCTCACCTGCAACTGGACCTGCTCCTTCTGCTCCTCCGCCTGGCTCAGGAGGAGGCCTTCCGCCAGGGCCACCGCCTGGGAGCTGGTCTCTGCCCCACACTCCCGCACCCAGCCCTCCATCTCTGGGGGCAGAAGGAACAGGAGCTGCTCCAGAACCACCAGGTCCAGCATCTGGGCTTTAGTGTGCTTTTCTGGTCTCAGCCATCGCCTGCAAAAGCCATGGAGTCGGCTGCAAAGTCCTCGGGGACCCTCAGCCTCCAGGTATTGGATAGAGGTCCAGGGCGGAACTTGTGAAGGAAGGATGGTTTCCTCCTCCAGGATCTCCTGCCCGGTTCTTGTCCAGAGCTTCGCCCCCTTCCCAGGCTGAGCAGCTGAAGGGCCTTTTCCGCTTCCCTCCTTTTCAAAAGGTTGTGTCTCCATCCCTGCAAGGGATTCCGCTCTTTTTCTTCTTCCCCCAAGAGAAAAGTTTGCCTTGCAAAGACCACAAATGGCTTCCAGTTTCTGTATCTGAGAAGGGAAGAAAAAGAAACGCCAAGAATTAGAAAGTGGAATTCAGCTATTGAGCAACCTTCACCCATCCTGCCCCGAGCCTCAAGAGGGTCATCCCAGAGCAGGTCCCAGGTCCCCCCCGAGCAGGGTCAGGAAGGAGGCAGCTGGAGAGGCCGCCCCTCCGGAGACACGATGGGGCCCTCGGGGAGCCCGGTGCGAATCTTGCCTCCTCCTCGCCCGGCTTCTCTCCTCTCCTGCTGAGCCTCCCCTCCCCCCACTCGGCTCTTCCCCTCCCCCCTGCTCTTCCCCGGATCCCTGCCACCTTTGCCGCATGACCGCTTCTTCGTCTTCCCCCTGCAGAGAGGGCGGCTGGGGAGCATGGGACCCGGGAAGAACCCCCCCCTCACCCGGGGCACGTCTGGATGTCCCCCGCCAGACTCCCTCACAGCCTCTCCGCCTCCTCCGGGACTCCAGGGGTTAAGGAGAGCGAGTGCAAAGTCCTAGAAAGACAAGACTCTGGTGGGCCAATGGGAAAGCGCCTGAAGTTCCCTTCCCTTGGCAGAGAGCGCCCCCTGGTGGATTTGGTGCAAAGTGTCAGGATCGTTAAAAGGGCGGGAAAGAGGAGCACATGGGAGGGGAAGGGAGAGGGCGGTGATGATGGGCTTGGGAGTAGGGAGAAGAAAGGCCTCTCTCCATAGCTCTGTCAGACAAAGGCTTCCACCTCTGTGCTTCTTTTCCCCCTTTTATATCAACCCAAATGCATTGAAGGAAGTTTTCGCCTTTCTTCTGTTGCGTTTCTAGAGCGGTTTGGTTATTTCTTCTATATAGTGCAACTCCACCTCCACCTCTTTCATTCGGTCTGCTTCTTATTTATACAATGGAATGGAATAGAATAGAATAGAATAGGAGAAGATAAGAGAAAAGAAGAGAAAAGAAAAAAGCAATATTCTTTCTGGCAGCCCCTGAGATATGGGAAGATGCCATCATGTCTCCCCTCCTCTTTCTTTTCATCAGACTAGAAAATACCCAGTTCCAGTAACCGTTTTTTAATATGTTTTTGCCTCCATCTTTGTTGCTCTTCTCTGCACTCTTTCTAGAGTCTCAAGATCTTATTTATTATACAAAACACAAAGAAAATAGAAATGGGAAATTAAGGGAAGGAGAAAGAGAAAGTGGGGGGAGAAAGCTTGAGGTACAAGAGAGAAAAGAAAAAAAAAAGACTTTGACTTCTTTTTAGCACAGTGCAAGATGAAAAAATAAACATTCCAAGCTGACAATTCAATCTAATGGACAAAAGCAAAGACATTTTAGGTCTGTTTCCTTTGAATACTTTAAATGTGATTTAACAGCTGGAAAGTCTAGAAAGGTCCAGAACATCCCATTGTGGCTGAGGGAGGGAGGGCTCCCGCCTGAGGGGATCTGCGCTCTGATTGGTTGCTGCGGGTGGAAAGGGGGCGTTTCCCTTTTTCCCGCCTTTTCCTTCTGGGCGCCGTTTGAGATTTACCTCAGGATCTTCCTGACTGTCTTCTCTGCTGTGAATCTTAAAATATATTTATATGGAAGTAAAAGTAAAAGTTTGTGTCCCTCTTCCTTTGGACAGCAGCTGCCTATTTCCTCCACGTTAAACCTCTTCGGTTACCGCTTCCAGTCGGGGATTTTGATTTTATCCCCTGAGAGTGTCGGAAGAAAAATCAGGTCCAGTTCCAGGAAGGGAAGAAAATGGAGGCTGCTTAAGAAAGGAGGTTGATTGACGGGCGGAACCAACAACGGCCTGCAGTCAGAAGAGAAGAGAGCTTGAAGGGACCTTGGAGGTCTTCTAGTCCAACCCCTGTCGAAGTTCTCTGCGGAAAGGAGCGGGAAGCGGAGGAGAAACGACCCAACTTTATTCCGGGATCTCCGTTCTTTGCAAGGAAAAGGGGACCCTGACCCACAGAAAGAAAGAGGGGATTTCGCATTTGGGGTCGAGGGGCGGGAAATCGGAAGGGGCCCGTTCGTCCAGATGTTCCGTGCAAGAGAGACGCGTGTTTCAAGGAAGGAAACGGGGCTTTTCTCCCCTGAAGCGAAGCGGCGCTTTTCCTTCAGCGGGTTTAGCGGAGGGTTTTCCGTGGGTCCCTTCGGATTGGGGGGTGTCTGTGTGTGACCCCCAACTTGTCCTCGCTGGCTGCGGGGCTGCCCCTCCCCCCTTGTCATCCAGCCCAGCAGCTCTTCCTATGGCAGAATCTTAACATTTAACGAACGTGTGTGTGTGTGTGCGTGTGTCTTTGTGTGTTCTGGCCAGGTGCTTCCAGCTCCAGAGGAGGAACTGGGGGGGGGAGGAAGCGTTTTTCTCGGACTTTTGATCTGGGAGGGGCCAGGAGCTGAAGCACCAATGGGAACTCTCCCTGCTTTCAGCGTCATCAGTCTCCAGGCAGAGTCCTTTGTGCGTCACTTCAGGAGACCCTCTTTGTTCTCTTCACGATTCTCAGCTAGACTTTCCTGTGTGTGCATGGAAGGGGGGACTAGATGTCCTTTTAGGTTCCCAAACTGCCCCGGAAGGCTACGAAGGGGCCCTGGTCCTTCTCAGAAGGGGGCCTCCGGGCTTCCTCCAGCTCACTTGGGGGAGGGGGAGGGTTCCTGAAACTGGAGTCCTCGGGAGGGGGACTGACTAAGGAGGGGAGGGGCTCGGAGGGCCAAGGCCTTGATAGTACAGGGGTTTAGTGCACCCTGTAATTAACACAGCTGCCTGCAATTTCTGCTGGTTCGAATCTCTCCAAGGCTCAAGGTTGACTCAGCCTTCCATCCTTTCTAAGGTAGGTGAAATGAGGACCCAGTTTGTGGGGGCAATAAGCTGACTTTGTATAAATATACAAAAGGATGAAGGCTATTGCTTAACGCATTGTAAGCCGCCCTGAGTCTCCGGAGAAGGGCAGCATATAAATCAAATTTAAAAAAAAAAAGGCTGAAAAGGGCCCAATCCAGGAAAGGCTCTTCCCTCAGGGGAAAATCTGTTTCTTTCGCAGTCTGAGTATCCTCAGGATTTTCTCTGGCAGCTCTGGGGTCCCAAACCCCCACCCCACTCTAGGGATGGAGCCAGATTGCAGCTGTGCCCCCCCCAAGGGCTGCCTGGTCCCCACTGACCCTCCCCTCCCCTCCCTCGCATGGAAGTGGAGCCCATGGCTCTCGGGGTGGGGGTGGGGGCTTCGGCTTCTCTCCGAGGGGGACATTTTCCCAAAGAGGGGGGGGGTCGGCATTTCTTGCCCTCCGCTCAGCTTGGAAAAGGATCGAAGCAAAGATTATGCTTTCCCACTCCTTCGCCCCCCCGCACCCAGCAGAATTTTTCCTTCTTGTGCCACTCGGGGCTGGCATGAACCCCCCTTGAGCTGCGGGCCAACCAAGACCGAAGCCCCCTCGCCCCCCTTTCTCCACTTCTCTCTCTGCGCAGGACTCTCCCCTCCATCGGGTGAAGTCAAGGGAGTCTCTGCCCGGAGACCGATGACGCTGACGAAGGGAGGATTCCCATTGGTCCCCCTCCTCTGCCCTCCCAAGCCTGATATTCCAGACGAGAAACGCCCCACCCCATCCAGACCCACTTATTCCTCCTCTGGGACTGGGAGCCTCTGCGTCTTTCCCCCCTCCCTTTGGGGCGCTTGTGGGGCAGCCTCCATGGCCCTGATGCTGCTGGTGGGGGCGCTGGCCCCGGTGCCCGAAAGCGAAGGGGGGAAGGAGGGGGAGGAGAGGGTCGGGGGCCCCTTTGTGACCTTCCCTTTCAGGTGGTCTTGGGGGGGGCTGTTTGGGGAGGGGGAGAGGAGAGAGCCCTGAATGGGAAGGAGCTGCTGCGTCCAGACGTTCTGAGCAAGGGAGACGCGGGTTCCAAGGAGGGAAGCCACGTTTTTCTCCCCCGAAGCCTTTCCCGAGGGAGCCGAGCGGGGGATTCTCCGGGGAAGCTGCGGGAAGGATCCGGCTGGACTGCAGATTCTCTCCGCCTCTTCCTGGTTTAGCTGAAGATTTTCCGCGGCTTCCCTTCGGACTGGGGGAGGGGGGTGGGGTGTCTGTGACCCCCAAGTCTCCCCCTTTCCCTCCCTTCGGCAGAACCTTTGATCTGTGAACTGAAGGGGGGAGGGGAGGGGGCGTCCCTGTCAGGAGCTCCCAGCCCCAGAGGAGGAATCGGCGCTTCTGGATTGGAGCCTTTTCCTCGGACTTTGGACCAATGGGAATCCTCGCTGCTGCAGCGTCATCGGTCTCCGGGCAGAGTCCCCTGTGAAGTCACCTGAAGGAGGAGGGAGAGAAGCGGGGAAAGTGGGGGGGGGATCCCCGCCTTCAACCCCCCTAAAGGCTCCGCTTCCTCCTCTCGCCTCTGGAGGCGAAATCTCCCCCTCGATCCCTCCGTGGAAATGTTTTTTTACTTCCTCCTCCTCCCAGTTGAGCTTCATCTCCCTTTTCCACCCTCTTCCTCCCTGAGTTTCTCTCCAGTCAGAGAGGAGGCGCCATTTCCCCCCCTTCGCTTCCTAATGAAGGAGCCTCGTTATGAGGTAAAATTTCTGGCCTCTCCGAAGAGATTTCCAGCTTTTCCTCCATTGCGGAGCCTTTTTTTCTCCATCCTTCCTCCTCGGTCTCTTCCCAATCCTTTTCCCTCATGGAGGCCTCCCTGCCCGTCTCCCACCTTCCTCCCCTTCAGGCCGGAGTCCCCCAGAGAGCCCCCTGGTCCTCGTCTTCTGACCGCCCGCCCGTTCCTGACAGGATTTTGGCCCCTTTGGAGGCCTCCTCCGATCTCCACGGAGCCTTCAGTGCGGCTGTTCTTCAGGGAGGCTCCGGAGAGGTTTTTCTCCATCTCCACAGACGGTTCTTGGACAGGAAGGAGAGGAAGACGGAGAAAGAGACGCCTCTGGAGACAGGGAGGCATAGAGACTGGCCTTTCTTTTCCCTACTCCCAAGCCCATCATCCCCGCTCTCGCGGGGCTCAGGGAAAGAGCCGAGTGGGGGGAGAGGAGGCCCAGCAGGAGTGGAGAGAAGCCGGACGAGGAGGAGGAAGGATTCGCACCAGGCTCCCGAGGGCCCTATCCTGTCTCCGGAGGGGGAGAGAAGCGGGGCGGCTTCTCCAGCTGCCTCCTTCCCGGCCCTGCTTTTGGGGACCTGGGCCCTGCGCTAGGATGAGCCGACTGAGGATCCGGGCAGGTTGGGGGAAGGTCGCTCAGTGGCTGAATTCCACTTTCTAATTCTTGGCGTTTGTTTTATCTTCCCATCTCTGATACAGAAACTGGAAGCCATTTGTGGTCTTTGCAAGGCAAGCTTTTCTTTGGGGGAAGAAAAAAAAGAGTGGAATCCCTTGCAGGGATCAGTCCTGCAGCACCAGAAATGGTCCCGTGAAGGAAAAGGCATCTGGAGTCCTTGGAGCCATTTGGAGTTGCTCTGCAGGACAGAGAAAGGATGGAGACACAACCTTTTGGAAAGGAGGGAGCCGGAAAAGGCCCTTCAGCTGCTCAGCCTGGGAAGGAGGGGAAGCTCTGGACAAGACCCTGGCAGAAGATCCTGGAGGAGGAAACTATCCTCCTAACTGAGGATAGTTAACTTAGTCCAGGGCTGAACTAAGAAGTTCAGCCCTGGACCTCCATCCAATACCGGGAGGCTGAGGGTCCCCGAGGCCTTTGCAGCCGACTCCATGGCTTTTGCAGGCGATGGCTGAGACCAGAAAAGAACACCAAAGCCCAGATTATGGACCTGGTGGTTCTGGACAATTCCTGGATCTCCTACCCACAGAGATGGAGGGCTGGGTGCGGGAGTGTGGAGCAGAGACCAGCTCCCAGGTGGTGGCCCTGGCAGAAGGCCGCCTCCTTAACCAGGCGGAGGAGCAGAAGTAGCTGGTCCAGTTGCAGGTGAGACACTTTAGGGCAGGGGTCCCCAACCTTTTGGACCTCAGGGACCACCAAGTTCATAATTTTAAATTTTGCGGACCACCAATACAAATCCAGGGCGCCGCTTGCTGAAGCACCTGAAATGCCAGTGACGGGATGGGGTCCTTCAGGCACTCTCCCCTCCTCCCTCTCTCCCTCTCTCTCTCTCCCCTCCTCTCTCTCTCTCATTCTCTCTTTCTCTCCCCCCTTTCCCCTTTCCCACTCTTTCTCATTCTCTTTCTCATTCCCCCTTTCTCTCTCCTCTTTCTTTCTCTCTCCCCCACTCTCTCTCCCTCATTCTCTCTTTCTCTCTCCCCCCTCTCTTTCTCATTCTCTCTTTCTCCCCCCTCTTTTTCTCTTTTCTCTCTGCCCCCTCTTTCTCTTTCTTTCTCCCACTCTTTCTCTCTCATTCTCTCTTTCTCATTCCCCCCTCTTTCTCTCTCTCCCCTACTCTCTCTCTCTCTCTCTCTCTCTCATCTCATGGGCCAGCCAGTGTCTTGGGGCTGAGAGGAAGTCAAGCATCTCCCTGAGAGACCGAGGTGCATGGAGCAGCAACAAGGGCCGGAAGAAGTGTGGGAACAAAGCACTACTTGAACTTGCACAGCATGAGCATTCGCCTTGGTATATTTGCACCAGCCAGTGGTGCAAAGCAGCCCACATCTCCTGCTGCTTGGGACTTGGAGAGGTAAATGGTGACTGGTCTGGGGAGCAGCCGGATTTTGCTCTCCATTTCGGATGCCAGATCGGTCCCTGATTTGAATGAGGTGTGCTTTTATGTCCCCTGGAGGTCACGTGAGAGGAGTGTGTTGTCATTTGTCCTCTGAAACCTCCAAAATTGTGTGAGAACAGAACTTTCACACTCAGCCCATGGAAGAGCATTCTCCCAATCCAATTCAAGAACAAAGGCCTCATGCAAAGTCACTCAAGAGCATCCTAGGGTAAAGGTAATCTCTGAGTTATAACTGTTCACTTAGGGACTGTTCTACGTTATGACCAGCCCTCCCCCAAGTACTTGAGACCCAATCTCAAAACTATATGTTTCCACACCACAGCATTTTTCAGACTATAAGACGTACACACACACACACACACACACACACACACACACCACTGTTGGGTTTTTTGGCAGCTGCCAAAAAAGCCAACACAGTTCTGGGCTGCATAAACAGAGGGATGGAATCAAGATCACGTGAAGTGTTAATACCACTTTATAATGCTTTGGTAAGGCCACACTTGGAACACTGCATCCAGTTTTTGGTTGCCGTGATGTAAAAAAGATCTGTAGACTCTAGAAAGAGTGCAGAGAAGAGCAACAAAGATGATTAGGGGACTGGAGGCTAAAACATACGAAGATTGGTTGCAGGAACTGGGTATGTCTAGTTTAATGAAAAGAAGGACTAGAGGAGACATGATAGCAGTGTTCCAATATCTCAGGGGCTGCCACAAAGAAGAGGGAGTCAAACTATTCTCTCAAGCACCTGTGGGAAGGACAAGAAGCAATAAGTGGAAACTAATCAAGGACAGAAGCAACTTGGAACTAAGGAGAAATTTCCTGACAGAACAATTAGTCACTGGAACAAGCTGCCTCCAGAAGTTGTGAATGCTCCAACACTAGAAATTTTAAAGAAGATGATGGATAACCATTTGTCTGAAGTGGTGTAGGGTTTCCTGCCTAAGCAGGGGGTTGGACTGGAAGACCTCCAAGGTCCCTTCCAACTCTTATTCTATGCTATTCCTTAACTCAAAACAGACTCTGAGTGAGGTTTGCATATAAATATATATAATTGTAAACAAAAGATGTTTTCTAGATATTTTCAAAGCTCATGAATATAGAAATCATGTCTATATCAGACCACTATTTTTATTTTTTTATTTTTATTTTTGGATTTATATACCGCCCTACTCCTGAAGGACTCAGGGCGGTGAACAGACGAAAAGATAAAACACACAAACTACAAAATTTAAAAGACAATATAAAAACTCATTAAATAATTTGGCCCAAAACAAACTATAAACTACAATAAATTACGAAGTAATTATTTGTAATAAATTACAAAGCAAACATACAACCTAATGGAATTTCAAAGAAACTCAGAAAGAAATTCACTTGACTTTTTACACTTTGATCTTTTTCTCTTGTAACCCTTGTTATCGTTTTCATTTCCCTTTTGCTTTGAAGGTAATAATGGGCAGGAGAATCAAGATTTCTGTGAACTGTTCCAAGTTCACAATGCTAAAGATGGAACTGAACAGTTTGGAATTGGAATGGAATTTCAAAGCCATGAGAGAAACCAGTCAAAGAATTTGAATCAGGAAAGCTCATCTTCCACCGATGCTCCGATGCAAGACTTTCTTGCCCAACGAGAGAAAATAAGGAAAAAATATGTTGGGAAAAGTGTGAAGCTAATCAAAGCTAAAGTATAAGTAAATGAACACTATTTAACCCAAAACAAAAGAGACAATGCTATAAGATGATACAACGGACAAAATTATAAAGGGACATTCATTCCTTCTCTTGGAAATACCGTATTTTTCGGAGTATAAGACGCACCGGAGTATAAGACGCACCTACCTTTTTTGGTTGTTGTTTTTTTTAAGTTTTTTTAAATTTTTTAGACAAACACACATACAAACATACAATATATTTTCTTTGAACAGAGTATGTGGCTGGTTCACAAATTTAAACGGCATTTAGTCATTTCAATTAAATTTACTATTTCTATATTTCCTTTTTGCCATATTTATTCCTCATCTATTTTTTTAAAAAAACCAATATTACCCTTCATCCTCATCTCTAATCTTAATCAAATCCAATTTTTCCCTTCTATTCTATATTATACCCCTTCCCATTGTCATCTATTTTTATATCCATCCTCACATTGGTTAATTATTTAATATTATACTTGTTTAATACAAATTCAACATTTTAATATAAATCAATTAGTTATAACTAACTTTTTTGTATATTGATTAATATGAACATGAATATTCCAATTATTTCCATGCAATCCAATTTCTTACAAATCAATTAATTATATTTACCAATAATAATAAACCAAATAATTTTCCCCATATATTCCTCCAAACCACAACTTAACCATTTCTGCTTTCAACACAATATACAATTAATAGTATCTCAATTATTACAATTCCCTAGTTAAATAGAGCTTTTTTTCTTTTGTGTTTTAAAATCTTGAACTCTCCTCTTTTGCCCCAAATTTCCCATTGTTTGCACCTACCTTTTTGGTGAGCAAAAAGAAAAAGAAATCTCTCTGCCTCATTTTGTCACGTTGCAGCAAAGAATCTGCTTTACTTTCAGTTTCATTTTTTCAGCATAGCTAGGGGGAAAAAAATCTGCTCCAGCAGTTTTTGCAGAGCCCTGCACAAAGCAGCTGAGAGTCGGGAGGCAGATCTAATCAACTTAGGCTAGTTAACCTGAAAGGGGCTGTTTTTTCTTGCTGTTTGCTTGCAAGGAGATAACTGCTGCAAGGCACAGGCCAAAGGGTGGGGGCCAGTGGGTGGGCAGGGCTACATTCGGTGTATAAGATGCACCTAAATTTTCACCCCCCTTTGGGGGGTAAAAACGTGCGTCTTATACTCCGAAAAATATGGTAACTTCTTTAAATCTCAAAAAGTGTTTGACACAAAAAAGAAGCCAAGGGGTAGGCCGCTCTCGGGGAACTAGGACTCGCTGCCTCAAAGCGATTACTTGTTCCTGCCCCTCTGGTTCTGGTTCACCAGGCTCACCTCGTATACCTGGCGACTTGGAATGTCAGGGCCCTGGCCTCAGGTTGCTGCTGTTTAATGCCAGGTCTGTTGTTAACAAGGCTCCCCTTGTTCAGGACTTAATCCTGGTGGAGGAGGCTGACCTGGCATGTATAACTGAGACCTGGCTGGGCCAGGAGGGGGGTGTTTCCCTCTCAGAGATGTGCCCAGACAGGTTTCAGATATTGCATCAGCCACGACTCCAGGGAAGGGGTGGAGGAGTGGCAGCTATTGTCCGGAAGAGATTTGTCCTTGCAGGATCCCTACCCCGGAGATTGTTGGGTGTGAGTCTCTCCTCTTGAGGTTGGACTCGAGTTTAGTTGGGCTTGTTGTTGACGTACCTGCCTCCTAGCTGCATTACAACAGCCCTGCCTGTGCTGCTAGAGGCAATAGCAGGTTGGCGGTGGAGTTCCCCAGGCTTATGGTACTGGGGGACTTCAACCTGCCCTCACTTGGCGAATCCTCAGATGTGGCTCAGGATTTCATGGCTTCCATGAGAACCATGGACCTGACCCAAGTAGTTCAGAGTCCAACCCATAGGGGAGGACACACGCTTGACCTGGTGTTTCTCTCGGGGCAGTGGAGACAGAATCTGGAATTAAGGGGTATAGATGCTTCTCCCTTGTTGTGGTCAGATCATTTCCTGTTGAGGTTGGACTTCAAGATGCCACTCCTCCATCGCAGGGAAGCAGAGCCGATTAAGTGGTTCCACCCCAGACGCCTAATGGACCCTGAAGGATTTCAGAAGGAGTTTGGGGAGATATCTGACTCCCTTGTCCACAGTCCAGCTGAGACCCTGGTGGCTGCCTGGAATAGGGCAGCGTCTGGGACATTGGACAGGATTGTGCCTTTGCAACCTCTCAATGGCAGTGGATCCAGGAAAGCTCCCTGGTTTACCGAGGAGCTCCAGGAGATGAAGCGCCAGAAGAGACGTCTAGAGCGACGCTGGAGGACCAGTAAATCTGAATCTGACCAAACACTCTTGAGAGCCTTTATTAGGACTTATTTAGTGGCTTATTGCATCCGCTGATTCTTGCCCAGCAGCCCTATTTAGGGTGACTTGCTCCCTCCTTAATGTAGGGGAAGCGGAGGAGCCCTTGCAGGGTAGAGCTGAGGAGTTTGTGCAGTTTCTGTTGGATAAAGTCGCTCAGATTTGGATGGACCTGGACTCTGATTGGACAATACCGACTGAGATGACGGGGGCGGGTCTTAGTCCTAATGTGTGAGACGAGTTTGAGCCTGTGACTCCTGAGGAAGTGGACAAGGCTGTAGGTGCGATGAGTTCCTCCACCTGTTTGTTGGACCCGTGCCCCTCCTGGCTGGTTTCAGCCAGCAGGGAGGTGACACGAGGCTGGCTCCAGGCTTTAGTTAACACATCCTTGAGGGAGGGGTCCTTCCCACAACCATTAAAGGAAGCAGTTGTAAGGGCCCTCCTCAAGATGCCTTCCCTGGATCCAGCAGAATTAAAGAACTTTCGGCCAGTCTCCAACCTACCCTTTGTGGGAAAGGTTGTAGAGAAAGTGGTGGCAATGACCAGGTCCAACACACATAACAATCCCCAAACACACTCCCGCCCACCACAATTCTCTACCCCTAAACCACCCAAACATCCACACAACAGACCAAGTAACACTGTCCAACAGCTCACTGATGGTGGCCCTTTATTTTTGAGTGCAATTACAGCTCTGGGATAAAAACTATTCAGAAGACATGTGGTCCGAGTTTTAATTGTTCTGTATCTTCTGCCAGAAGGCAACAGTCCAAAAAGATTGTAAGCAGGATGGGAAGAGTCTCTGAGAATGTTATGCAACTTTCTCAAACAGGGAGATTCGAAGATGTCATCCAGGGCTGGTAGCTGGAGTCCAATGATATTCTGGGCAGTTTTAATGATTCTCTCTACAGCTTTTTTGTCTGCTACAGAGCTGCTCCCATACCATGCAAGAATGCCATATGTCAGGACACTCTCAATGGTGCTGGGATGGTAGAATAATAGGCCTGGTGGGGGGACATGTGATTGGGTGGGAGTGAGTGACATGGAGTTGGAAATGTCCACCCAGGTTTTGTGGCTCCCAATGTTTTGTTTTCTGTGGGAAATGGGCCCAAGTGGCTCTTTTAAGTGTTTAAGGTTGCCGACCCCTGCCCTAACTGAAACTACATTCCACAAATGCCTTTTTACAGATTGTGTCCTAGGCTACCGGAGTCAATAGGAGGGGTGTGAGTTTCACAGCCTGCCAACATGGTCAATTGGAGAATGATTTATGAAATGTCCAGGGAGGAGGGGGGGAGACAGGGTCATGAGAGCCCGCAAATTTATGTGAGGTCAGTACTGACTGCATCAGAGTATTGCCAGAATGGTGCTCCTAATAAATGACTGTATTTCTTTTCAAGTTTGGCTTGTGGCTCATGAATTAATTAGGGCATCTTTCGGAAACTTCACAGACAGTCAGAACTCCTTTTAAAGTCTATCAAGATCACCAGGTTTCCTGAATTCTGGACTCTCCAATTGCTCCCCGATATCTGAGGTGCCGGGAGGGAAAATCAGGCAACCATGGCAGAGGATGGGCTATCAGAAGAGAGCCTGATTGTAGCCGGAGTGCAGCTTCCCTCAAACATCAAAGCTGAGATGTGTGCTGCAGCGGCGGAAGCAAGAAGAGATGAATATTGGTGAAAGTTAATCCCTAAAGCACCTGAGGTTAAGTTCCCCAACCCAATGTCCAGAAAAAGGGGAATCCCCTGAGCGAGCTGGGAAGAGTGGAGTGGATGCTGGACTGGAAACAAGCCAGGCTCCCAAAGCCCCTGATGGAGTCCCTGGGAAGTTCCAGGGAGCAGCTGAAGGAGGAATTTGACTGGGCTACCCTTCATGATGAGGAGCCATCATGCAGGACAAAATGGAGGGATGAGCAGTGGATCCCTTTGAAGTGAGGAGAAGCAGACAGGAATACAGCCCCCCTTCTTCACCCATCAGAAGGAGGCTGCAACCAGTGCCTTTTCCACGCAGCAGGCACGCTGCCCAGGGCAAACAGCCACCTCCCTCTCTCCGAACTAGAGCTAAGGAAGATGGCCAGCCACATCAAACACAAGCATACCACCTAATCATTGGGGGGGGGGTTATGACGGTTGGAGTCAGATTGTTACCAGCCAGTAAGCCCAGCAGGGGCTTGTCATCTGTGACAAGGGTAAGGTGTCTGCCGTACAAGTAGCCAGCGCTTCCCTGTCCAGCTTGCTGTAGTTATGCTTGGTGGCGGACAATGTGTGGGAATAGAAGGCGACAGGAGCCTCCTGGCCACTTGGTAGCTGAGGACAGTGCTGACCCCGAATGGTGTGGCGTCAAAAGTCAAAATCAGGGGCAGAGGGTCACTGTAATGGGCCAACACGCTGTCTGATGTCAGTAGGTTCTTTACAGCAGCAAAAGCGGATGCCTCGGTTCGGCCCCAGACCCAGGAAGCCTTTTTTTCTAGCAGCTTATGCAAAGACTCTGCAACGGTGGCCTTCTGAGCCAAAAGCATGCTGTAGAAATTGAGCAAGCCTAAGAAGGCTTGCAGTTGCCTCTTGTTTTTTAGAGTAGGGGCATCCCTAATGGTGGCAATTTTGTTCTTGGTGGGGTGAATCCTTGGACCGTCAATCATGTACCCCAGGAATTCAACCCTCGGCATGGCTATGTGAGATTTTTCGTGCTTGACTGTGAGCCCTGCCTCTCTGAATTTGGTCAGGACAGCTCTGAGATGGGCAAACAGGGACGGCTTGTTGGTAGTGGACACCAGGACCTCATCAAAATATGGCATTACCCCAGGAATTCCCTGTAGTAGCCGTTCCATGATACTTTGGAACAGTCCTGGTGCCATGCTGACACCGAATTGCAAATGGCGGCAGTTAAATGCGCCCCTCTGGGTGACAATTGTTTGTGCTTTGGCTGTGCTGTCATTGACCGGCAGCTGCTAGTATGCTTGCGCGAGTTTGAGTTTGGCGAATATGGTGCCTGTTCCCAATGAATGCAATAAATT